TGAAATAACGTGGAGTAAGTTCTAATTACATTAGAACTGCTTTAAACTGGTATGTATAACCGATCACGGCAGAAATTTAAACCATTCTGTCTGTTCCTGTCGGCGCATACCGCAGATGCAGTTAGTCTGAGTTTATAATATGAACAAACACTAGTAAAATGGATTAAGTAAGCTTAAGTAAATTCAGCTTAAGTAATCAGATTAAGTAAGCTTAAGTAAAATCAGCATTTAGGTTTTAAGATCAGAGTTAAATACATATGTTTCCTTGATAAAATATACATTTAGCAGATTATTTCATTTCCGTAGTAGGGGAATCGCCTAGTGAGTAGATTCGGCATGTCTCCTTTAAATCACCATCATTGCCGGGCCCATCTCGCGGCTCAACAAACCACCGCTATGTTTATTCAACAAACATTTTTCAATCCTCGCAAATGGAAGATGCTCACAATATCTACCTTTGGGTGTCACGTCGCCTCATCGTTATGGATGACGATCCATATTTGTTTTTCGGTGTAAATGTGTCGAAAATATGAATATTCGGAATAGAATTATTCGTAGACACAAATATTATTATGTATGTACATACGTCTGAACCCGTTCTACGACCTTGATAAACGAAAATCTAAATTCAAAATACAGACATAAATTTTGCTATTTGTAAAGTATATTGTCAAATATTGTTTAAATATAAAAAATTTAAAAAGATTTTTTTTAAAAGATACGCTTCACTGTGACGTTGATCAGGATATTATGTTAAAGTAATACAAGTTTTTGTATTGTCATCGGTCCTTGATACGTGTGCAAATTGTCCACTTAATCGGATGTCTTGATGTTGGCAAAAATTCCGTTACATAAACAGATTCAAGATAAGATACTTACATAGACAGAAGTAAGTGGGCAAGCTAATAAAAGGGTGCTATTAACTCACAGACACAACCCACTGATTTTTTCGCCGGATCTTCTGAGTGGGTCGCGATTCCGTTCCGGTGGTAGATTCAGCGAAGTACCTACTGCTCTTGCTAGGGCTAATGTTAGTATATTCGCCTGGTTGAGCCCCGCGAGCTCGCCTACACATTAGATGATCGTAGTATAACCCCTCTAGTTTACTAGGAGAGGTATGAGAAAGTAATTTAAAAAAACAATTCATTAGAAAAAAATATTCACGCAATCACTTAGCTACTAATTTATATAGTTGTAAAGAAACTATATTTCTTTATAGTACATTTGTACAGCGCTCTATAGCTTCTATGTAATCATATAGATGGCGCTGTCGATAATGGTGACATGCATTGATATTGAAGGGTTGACATCTGTCATGTTCGGGCATATTGTTACTAAATTAAATTAGATAATTATTATAAGGAATTGAGAGTGGTGGACTTTGAATGTCGTTTCTTTGTTTTCAGGTGAGATACCTATTATAGGTTTGCAATGTGATTGTACTGTTTGTTAATGTTGTGTACGTTTTAAGTTATTAAAATAATAAAACCTTTGTTTTCAGAGCAACGCCATGTTTATTTAAACTTACAATTCCTATTTATAATTCCTAGTAAATTAAAAAGAAAAAGTGTTTTAAATAGTTACTATATAAGTACTACAAGTACTTTTTAATTTCGTCAGCATTAGAATTGCGAAATAAACATTTTTTATTTCAATGACTGAACGACCTGCCGGAAATACGTAGAATTGAACTTTCAAAAACGGTCATTCGTAGCGCTCAATCAATCTCGTAGCGTTCTCGTAGCACTCGATGTAATTGCACTGTGCCAGTCGCATGTAGATGCAGGGGTTGAAGCTGCCACTTCTCATTATTGTCACCCAGAAAGGCCGCCACCAAGAGAAAACTCATCTTTGGAATCACACGTAAATATTTAGAGCATGAGAATGACCATTTCGTAGTTTTCGAAGTTATGTGAGTGGCGTCTGAAATTATATTTAACTTCTGCATCGTTTTTATGATGTAAGTATTACGCTACGGGCTAGCAAGAGTAGAGAGAAAACATATTCTACTACTTTTAAACTATAGGGAGTGCTCTGAATTGTTTAAAACCATCACGTTATCTTCTTTTTACTATCACATCGTCCGCTGTCAGAGTACTCTAAATCTATACTATTTAGAACTACTTCCCTTTTCACAGTAATTTTTTAAAGATCTTTTTGTCATGCATCATCAGCTGACTCTTAAATGAAGTCTCCTTCCGTGTATTTACCGAACGCTATGACATTTTATTCTTCAAACGAGATTTTCAAATAGGCCCCAGCTGTAGGCAGTCGTTTGGATGTGGTCCTCGCGTTACTGGTTTTGTGAGCACCGGTGACCACTAAGTTCGAATTTCATTGAATTGTGTGCAGTTTTATTTCACGCGGGAAACTGTCGGAGGATACAACGGGGATAATTTTTAAGGTAAAATGATTATTATTGGCAATAAAAATGTTTTTTTACTATGTATATTTATTTCTTGACGGTACATAATAACTGTTTTCGCACCCAAAACCACTGCCAGTTTAATAATTACAAATACTTAGCACAAGTCTTATTTAATTTTTTTTATTGCTTAGGTGGACGAGCTCACAGGCCCCCTGGTATTAAGTGGTTACTGGAGCCCATAGACATCTACAACGTAAATGCCGCCACCCTCCTTGAGATATAAGTTCTAAGGTATCAGTATAGTTACAACGGTTGCCCCACCAAAGCGCATTACTGCTTCACGGTAGAAATAGGCGGGGTGCTGGTACCTACTTGTGCGGACTCAGAAGAGGTCCCACCATCATCTGGATACACGGAATTCTCAAAACCCACCGCTCTACATTCGCTATCATACATACCGAAATAGAGAACACTAAACACTACACAAAACCAACTGAGAAACTCGAGAAACATACTTAATGTACGTATCTCTACAAAAAGTAAATTGTAATTTAATTTCATTCAAATAAGGCATTTTAAACGTTTTCTTGATAAAGTTAAGTAAACGTATTATTACAAATTTAAATATGTTATTTGCGAAATAAACGAAGCACAACAAAGCTCGCAATTTATCGGAAGCAGTAATATCGGTCTTATCTTTCTTGAATGATAATCCGAATCCAGTATTTATTGAGTTGAAAAAAGATGAAACCGTCCTCGATTGACGATTGATACGAGGAAATATGAAAAATACTCGATGCGTCAATATTATGAGATTTTGTGTGTGTCGTATTTATGTGCCGTTTGAGTTTACTTCATGATGTATTTGATTACATATTGTTACATTTTTGCTAAGATGGGTCGATGAACTCAAGGCACGCCTGGTGTTAAGTGGTTACCGTAGCCCATGGATATCTACAACATAATGATCGCTACCCATCTGACGGAATATGTTCTAAGGTCTCAGTTTTTACAGTACAACGACTGCCCTACCCTTAAAACCGAAACGCACTTCTGTTTCACGGTAGAAATAGGCAGAGTGGTGGTACCTACACGTACGGACTCACAAGACGTCCTACCATCAGTATCATTACATTATAAAAAATTCATGCAAATGATTAACAATTATTGAATTGATTAAAATTTATTAATACAAATTGATTTTATTTTATAATTAAAATAATCAAAAGATTAATAACATGCTAAAATTAACGTCAGAAAACGTCCGAAATTACTTTATCTTCCTACTTAAAGTATTTTTACGGTTTAATCTCGTCTCTTTTGTTGTTATTACGTTATTTTGTTTCTATTTTTTTTATTTTTTATTGCTTAGATGAGTGGACGAGCTCTCAGCCCACCTGGTGTTAAGTGGTTACTGGAGCCCATAGACATCTACAACGTAAACGCGCCACCCACCTTGAGATATAAGTTCTAAGGTCTCAATTATAGTTACAACGGCTGCCCCACCCTTCAAACCGGAACGCATTACTGCTTCACGGCTGAAATAAGCAGGGTGGTGGCACCTACCCGTGCGGACTCACAAGAGGTCCTACCACCAGTCTATGATTCGAATACTTTACGGTTTTCGTGGTCTATTCTAATCGCCTAACTATATCACTAAGAAAAACCGAAATATTATAAGTACTGTATGTATGTATGCATATTATTTTTGTGGCTTGTATATACATGTCTATATCTAGTGATTTCTCTTTGAATGTGATCCTAACCGCCTAACTCTATTGACTTAAGAAAACCGTAATACTATACGTACTACGTGTATGCATATTATTTTTGTGGCTTGTATAGACATGTTCATATCTAGTGATTTCTGTTTGAGTGCGAAGTGCGGAAGCCGGTGCGGTGGCGATGGTAGGTCAACCTGAGCAAATAACTTCCGTCGTCGAGCGTACCTCGTCTCGTGCTCCAGTTTGCACTTTACGTGCTCACGTTCCGTTTACAAGTACAAACGCGTTTCCTCAACATTGTGGTTACATTTGCGGCTACATGTCGGGGCTAACGGTTTGAAGTTCGAACTGTTTGTTAAATACATAAAGTTTCGTGTTTATAATCGAGATACAGTTTTATTGTTTTTTAGTCGAAGGAACAACTTTGAGTTAGCGTTGACTTAGATTTCACGTATAGTTTAATGTGGATAATCTTATTAATCGGTTCATCGTTACATTATATAGTTTATCGTCTTTTTTTTTTTTTGTGGGAGTATAGGATGATACATTATATGAGTAAACTAATTTAACATAGTTTAAGATGTAGTTAAACTTGTGATTATGGAGAAACAAAAAGGAAATCGTGCGAGATTTACGGCGAATAGCGCACGCGCGACGGCACTCCGTATGCCGCTGTTGCCGCGGCCGCCCGCCACACTTCACGAGACCCCACTGCTGATCGCGATCGCGATAACTTTCAGTACTTCCCGACCGACGCGATAGCTTGCCGATTTCGTGATTAAAAGTTTGTTAGGGTTCAGTAAAGCACGTTAATGTGGGATGCAAGTGAAGGGGTCGAGGCGGCGATGGTGAGGTTGAGGTGATCGCGCGATGTGCCGCGAGTCGCGCGGACGCGCCATCGTCGTGCGATGATCGCGCGTCGCACGCCGCGCTGTCGTTTGCACGCGCTCAAACTCGCGCGGGTTTTCTTGTTGCCAATCGTTTTAACTATTGCCAAATCACAGTAAGTATTAGAACTATGTAAAAAAAATACTTTTATTTTTGTAATGAACCATTGAAATTTTAAACACGGAATCAATTATTGAAACTTATTTCACTTACCACACTTGGCTGCCGTTGCCTAGGTTTTCTCCACGGCTACATTACCGAACTTTCTTTATTCAAAATCTGTTAATTTCTTTTTGTTTTATAATATCCACAGGAAGTACTAATGTAGTTTTAATGTTATTAATATAAATGTATCAAACTTTATGAAACTGGTTGAGATTTTCAGAAAAATAAATTTTGCATTAGTAATGGAAATAAACTTATGGAGTAAAACATGACATTAGTGATAAAAAAACTTTCAGGAATGTAAAGTTTACTCAAATATACAATATGTACAAGGACATATAAAAACAACCCATTTTACACAAAACCAGCTGAAATTGAATGTTTGTTAAAACAAAATACAGAAACATTATAAACATATTATTATATACATTAGGTAGCAATCCTGGCCGCAGCAAGACTTGGCAACTATGCTGCTTTATAAAAAAGAATAAAGTTAAAGATTACTAAGAATGTACTAAGGGCCAGGATGTTTGTTTCATTAGGGAGTGAAATTCAAATTCAAAACCCTTCCTGATTATATTGCCCTTTGGCAAAGCTTCCCCCACACTTTGCAATACTAGTTAAGTTGCGTTCTTTCTTTCTTCTTGACGAAGATACCACATAGTGATATCTTTTGACGATTTTTCTGTCTCACTCCTAATCATATGATATATCTAGCTTTACTGCAGTTTCATCGAACTGGAAGTGATTGAAATACCCAATCCTTAATGAAAATAAACACTTTAAGGACTTATCAGTTTAACACTTTTTTGTCCCTCGCAAAGACATTTTAAGTTGCGCGCACCCGCCGTCGGCAACCGAACCGCTTAGTTAATTCCTTTTACTTCGTACTTCATGAGTTTAAATTGACTTTAACCGAGGCTGTAACTCAACGGAGACTTAAATTAAACTATAATTAAACTACTACTACAAATTTAAAAATAATCAATTATCGAGATTGTTTATTTAAGATAAATGGAAAAAAATAGTAACTACGTCGTCCTTGAAAAAGTAGCAAGTTTTACATTAGCGAACATTGAATGAAATTCAGGAAATTCTTCGAAATCAATTTTTTAAACATAATAGGTCGTGGAAAATGTCTTTTCGTATTAGGTATAGTATGTATGAGTTTGTAATGAAATCTCTTTGGCTATACTAAATTTTGTATCTGGCTGGTTTTTGTATCATTAAAAGCTTAAATTTGAAAGAAGATAATTCCAAATTCAAATTAGGAAAAAGTGTGATTTCACAACAGCGCCCCTAACATACATATTAGAGTTAACTTTTACGCTATCGAGAACGTTAAAAAACTCGCACTAAGCACGCTGTTGAAACTCAAAGACATGATAATGTGAATTTATTGAACATTTTAGACTGGAATCCGTGATTTCTTCGTGGAAAGCATGGTCAGGAAACTCTCACCTACCCGTGCGAGCTCACAATGTGCCATACCAGCCGTATTCGCAGCATTTTAGATCTCTTACTATTTAAATTTAATTAATTCACGGCAAAAAAAGGGAAGGGTGGTGGTACCCACCCGCGTGGACTCACAAGAGGTCCTACCACCAGTGGTTTCCTATGTGCTGCTCTTTTAAAGATCGATCCGACAAATCTTATGAAAATTTGTGATTATTTTCTAGTCTACCAGTTTAACTTCTTATTTATTTTATTTCGCAATTTTACTCATACATTAATGAAAAAAATTAGTAGATTTTCTCTTCACCTTTAGGAGTTTTCTTCAAATTCAATTTCACTACGATGTAATTTATGTCCCGGTTCCAAGAGTTTAAAATTAAATGGAGTTACAGGTATCTTCAGATATGCAAGTCGCTTACGAAGGCTTTTTTATGTCTTTTTAAAAACAGTTAGATTTTTAAATGTTTAATTTCTCTCGAAAATACCTCCTCACGTGTGCTAATTTAAATAATGTATTTGAATACTACAACTTAGCTATCAATTAAATATTTATGTTTAGTTACATTTATAGTTAGTTGGTTTATGATTAATATCCTGATATTACACGATAACACCTCGCAGAGAAAAGTTGAAGAAAGTTGTTGTTTCATTTTTCAATGCATTTGAATGAGTTTTTTTACTGCACTATTGTGTATTGTAAGGGCAGTTTCACGCTTCAAGCCGGAACTCACTTTGCAACAGAAATAGTTGGGAAGGTACTTTCTCATTCGAGCTTAGAATACGTTTTAAACCAGCAGATTGTTTTGGAGTATTTGCACTTATTGATATGTCAGGAATTATTAAAATCAACAGCAGTATGTACCTATAATCAACTGGATTTCAGGTAGAAATAAGCATCTTTGTTACCTTTAAAAAGAAAAATGTTTTCGTACCTCGTGTTAAACGGCGTCTCAAATTGTTTTCGTCGGGAAGTCATTTAATATGGGATTTCGAAAAGCCTCACTTAAATTTGCATTACTGTTTGAAGTGACACGGTAATAATTCTGAATGTACTATAAGTGGGGCTCGGTTATTCTTGGGCCAGTATACTTATTATTACAATATCAATCTTTTGTAATATATAACCCGGTAGGTATACCGGGTGGTTTCCGCGTTATATCTGTAATAATAATAATAAAACATGTAATTTTGTTTTTCATTTAATTACCTATGTCTCTCACGGAGCTCTCCTACCAGATCGACATGCGATCCATTTTTTCATTGATGCGCGAGAGAATCACAAACGAGCAAAAAACTTTTCGCTTGCATCCTTGCTGACATGCATGAATTTATAAACGCCCAAGGAAACAACCTAGTGTTTGCAAAAGATCGCGATCAATTTTTTTTCAGGATTGCTTTCAATACCGTCCGCAATGTAAAGCAAATTAAATTAAAACTTACGCGTTGAGTCATTGATCTTACGCGAGGGTCATCAATTAGTTACTTTCACATTAAATTCTGGGTTAGTTATTAATACTAAGAGTTATGTAAGTAAGTATTATACCTACTAGTAGTATAAGAAACAAAATCACTTAGGTACTTAGTAAGTATTATAAAATACTTTTCTTAGACGAGTAATTGAATGTAATTTTCCGCTTAGGAGAAAAAAAAATCCATTTCGACTTTGGAAATGATCCTTATAAAAAGTGATATGAAAATATGTGTGTACTTTCTTAGCGTAGATAGGCAGGCGAGTTCATGGTATCTCTATAGCCGAACAATACATGGAGCCTGCAGATAATCCTGCCTTTCTTCAGAAATGCCTTTTTATTACCTTAGCAATCAGACGAGCGTACGTCAATCTCATATCATATAGACACTACCGTCCATGAATAATGACAATACTGGAGGTTGCTGGTTATTATAAAATAATCTCCTTAAGCAATTACGATGATGATAGAAACAGTCATGGATTAGACACGAGTGTAGGCCACCCTTTAATCTATAGTTGTAATGGTTGTGAACGTTCAATTTGATAATTCAGTGTAATTTTGTTTCAGAAACGAGCGTGCCGTGGTCGCTCGACTAGAGAACGTGACGCATACCGTGTCACGGATACTCGACGGATATGATATACGTCTACGACCTAACTTTGGCGGTAATCAATCTTTTATATAAACCGACAATCTGGCTAATAACTAACAATAAGTTTTTTCAATCACTCATCCGTGTTAGTAACAATCATTGCACATTGATACAAATTACCATTGATGTTTGTAAATGGTATACAAAATTCGGCTGCAGATCGGACGACGAGCGACGCTTGTCACTACATAGTTTATAACAAAGTCGCTTTCTCTGTCCTATATCCCTATGTATGCTTAAATCTTTAAAACTGCGCAACGGATTTTGATGCGGTTTTTTTTAATAGATAGAGTGATTGAAGAGGAAGGTTTATATGTATAATAACATCCATTAAATAGTGGAGAAATCAATAATAAATTACAGTTTCCGAAGCGAAGCGAGGGCGGGTCGCTAGTCTACCATAAAATACTATGAACAGCTGTAGACAAATGTAGACGCGTTCCGAATTACATTCATTAATACAAACCAGTAATGTCGGTTGTCGTGTGAAATCCTGGGTATGCGCCACTGTCACCGCAGCGTGCCTTCAGATATGGAATCAGACACTAATTTGTATGCTTGTTATTTGTACAAATAAGAGACAAGGTTGATTCTGTTTATGCCAAATAAGACGAAACTTACATAGATAAACAAGTGAAAAAAATATTACATAATATATTGTAGTTTAATTATAAGTAGAAAGTGCGTGTCTTAATTTTGTTTGGTAAATTTTCAATCTATAGTTCATTCATAAAACTGTTCTTATAATGAAAAGATATTGAATTGTGTGCGATGTCCTCCTAAAAGGCAAAGTTCCCTTCTACCTCTCCATATTTCAAATAAATTTAGTTTTATTTATCCTAAATGTAAACTAACAGACTATTCAAACATGGAATTTAATATTCAAAAACATAGTCTGTATGCATTACGTGTGACTTGGGTTCATATCAGTACGTTATGCAATGCATTCAAAATTCTGTGTACACGAGAAACATTACGCTCCACTCTCCGCGTCTCCGAAAACTAAAATTAATGTGTGTTTCGCGAACCATAAAGATTTAGTATTATTGAGAATTTACTTCAGCAAACCGCAACTAGTTTCGTCAGCGGTTCCCGTGCTCCGCATATGGCCGACCACATTGTTGCTTCGTTGCACAAAATGTTATCATTTCCAGGAGATCCGCTGTACGTTGGAATGGACTTGACTATTGCTAGTTTCGACGCAATCTCTGAAGTCAATATGGTATTTATTATTAGTATTAATTATCTGTATACTATAAATCCTTAGTAATTCTTTTTTAATCATCTTCATTTCATTTCATTTCACTCCATGTTATCATTTTTCATAAAAATAGGAATATAAATTACAATAAGATATGTGACCTAAATGTCTTAGTTAGCAAGTCATACAATGTCTTAAAAAAAGTTATTCTTTTTTTTTGTTTTTTAATGCTTAGATCCTCCATCAAATCGAAACGCATTACTGCTTCACACCAGAAATAGGCGGGGTGATGGTACCTACCCGTGGGGACTCAAGAGGTCCTACCACCAGTAATTACGCAAATTATAATTTTGCGGGTTTGATTTTTATTACACGGTGTTATTCCTTCATCGTGGAGGTCAATCGGGAACATTTGTTAAGTGCTTATTTCATTACAAAAATTGGTACCCGCCTACGGAATTCGAACATCGGTGCACCGCTAGATACGAATGCACCGGTCGTCTTATCCTTTAGGCCACGACGACTTCATTTAAAGCTTGATCTTCATATAACCATGTATTTAAGTACGTACGGCTATTAGCAATACAAAAGGGGTATCAAATGATAATAGTACTTCCATTAATATTGTTCCATAATAGTGCTTTTGGGTTTAGGCTACCCTCAACGCAAAGGCACTGTGAACACGCATATTGAACACGTGACCACTAATTTAAAAAAGACCATATTTTAGATGCTCTAGTTTTATTACGTTAGGCCATTTAAAAGCCATCAAGGTAAGAATATTTGTGATAAAACCGAACCAGGATCTAAACATCATTAAGAAGGCCGAGATACTGTAAGACGACCTTGCCGGTCTTGATGTTCCCTGAGAGGTTTCGGCTTACATCAAGGACTTGTCACTATAAAGCAGTTCGTTCATCGTAATTCATTAAGCTTTTAATAGCCACGGAAAGAGAGCAAGGCCACCACTTGACATACATCGAGGGTCGACGTCGGTCGAGGGGCGGCGTGCTGCGTCAGCCAATCGATGGCCGTCTTTACCCTCTATCGCCACTCACCGCTTGTCGTCGCAGAGGTCACCGCCCACTTATCAGTACATAGATTTTGTATATAAGGATACATAATCATTAACTTAAGTAAACATTTTCGTTAAAATGTACTTCGCATATTACATACAAAGCTTGAAGAATCCCCTTATTATATCCCTTTGTTACGTAAAATAGATAGCTTGTCCTGCATTTCAGGATTATACCATTACACTCTACTTGAATCAATATTGGAAAGATGAAAGACTAGCCTTCGGATTGCCGGAGGAGGTTTTGACGTTGTCCGGAGATTTCGCGGATAAGATCTGGGTTCCGGACACCTTCTTCGCAAATGACAAAAATAGGTACGTTCACATTTTTGAAACGCTTGATTTTTGTTTGTTATTATTTCAATTAATTTTAGATTACATATTTGAAAATTATTCGTCGGATAATACGAGTTATATTAACGATAAAAAAAAATTTATTGCTTAGATGGGTGGACGAGCTCACAGCCCACCTGGTGTTAAGTGGTTACTGTAGCTCATAGACATCTACAACGTAAATGCGCCACCCATCGTGAGATATAAGTTCTAAGGTCTCAAGTATAGTTACAACGGCTGTTCTACCCTTCAAATCTAAACGTATTACTCCTTCACGGTAGAAATGGGCAGGGTGGTGGTACCCACCCGCGCGGACTCACAAGAGGTCCTACCACCAGTAGTTTACCTTTTCATAAGTTTTGATAAGTAAGTTACTTTTTGATTTTTTCAGTTTTCTTCACGACGTGACAGAGAGGAATAAGCTGGTTCGCCTGGGAGGTGACGGAAGCATCACATACGGGATGCGTTTCACAGCTACGTTGGCTTGCATGATGGACCTACACTACTATCCACTCGACAGCCAGAACTGCACCGTCGAGATTGAAAGCTGTGTGACTCCTACACTTGTAACATGCCGTCAGGCAGAGCTTATACGATTGTTTTGCAAGCTCAATCCTAGCGCCTGATTGTAAAAACACTCTATTATAGATTTACAATCTAAAAATCGTGGCACATGAGTGTGTTCATTTTTTCATAAAGCATTTCTCGAGCCACAGACTTGTTTTTAGTTTGTGCTATACGATCAATCAAGTCGGATTTTAGTCCATAAATTCGAAATATTGGCAATGAGTAGTTGTATTAGAATTACGCTTCGTTTCATTGCTTTCAATTCAACCTAGTTTCGTAAACTTTAAACGTTATATTTAATTTTACGAGAAACAGTTATTTTCAGTTGTATAATAGAATTTACGGTAATATTGTATTCTCGAATTGAAAACATCGATACAAGAATAACATGGTGAATAGAATTTAGTTATTCTAACGAATACACGTACGGTTGCAGATGGCTACACGGTATCTGACGTGGTCATGTACTGGAAGAACACCCCGGTACGCGGCGTCGAAGACGCTGAACTACCCCAGTTCACCATTTTAGGCCACGAAACGAATGATAGAAAGGTTATTTTTTAAATTAATTATCTACTATTACGTGTGTGTGTGAGTATGTGTGTGTGTGTGTGTGTGTGAGTATGTGTGTGTGTGTGTGTGTGTGTGTGGATGTGGATGTGTGTGTGTGTGTGTGTTGTGTGTGTGTGTGTGGATGTGTGTGTATGTGTGTGTGTGTCATCAAAATTGGCAACTGGTGGTAGGTCCTCTTCTGAGTCCTCACAGGTAGGTACCACCACCCCGCCTATTTCTGCCGTGAAGCAGTAATGCGTTTCATTACAGGAATTTCAAATCTGTCTCTGATTCAAATTTGACTCAAACAAGTTATGAATCTATGTTTTCAAAACGAACATTTTCTTATTCCAGGAAAAGCTGGCGACAGGAGTGTACCAGCGTTTATCTCTTAGTTTCAAATTACGAAGGAATATAGGATATTTCGTATTTCAAACATATTTGCCGAGTATTTTGATAGTAATGCTATCTTGGGTGTCGTTCTGGATAAACCACGAAGCAACTTCAGCTAGAGTTGCATTAGGTATGTGAATTTCACATGAAATTAATTAACTATTATGTATTTTCTTTTCGTTCCTAAAATAGTTAACTTTTAATTAATTTTTCTATTTCACTTTCTACTAAAATAAAATATGCGAAAAAACCTTAAACACCAATATTAGTTGGTTAGTTTAGGTTTATTGCTGATCTTTAATATCAATGCGTGTGAAAGTTTTTAAGACTACTATAAAATAGAGTCTTCGTGCGTTTATACATCGCATAGTCGATAGTCCTGCTCTCGCGGATCGCTTGGAACCTCTGGGTCTACGGAGGGACTTTGGTTCTCTCTGTGTTTTATACCGCATGGTCCATGGGGAATGCGCTGAGGAATTATTCGAGATGATTCCCTCATCTCCTTTTTATCATCGCACCTCACGCCGTCGGAGCAGAGTTCATCCATATTATCTGGAACCGCTGCGTTCATCGACAGTGCGTTTCCAAAGATCTTTTTTGCCACGTACCATCCGGCTTTGGAATGAACTCCCTTCCACGGTGTTTTCCGAGCGCTATGACATGTCCTTCTTCAAACGAGGCTTGCGGAGAGTACTTTATGGTAGGCAGCGGCTTGGCTCTGCCCCTGGCATTGCTGACGTCCATGAGCGACGGTGACCACTTACCATCAGGTGGGCCGTNCGACAGTGCGTTTCCAAAGATCTTTTTTGCCACGTACCATCCGGCTTTGGAATGAACTCCCTTCCACGGTGTTTTCCGAGCGCTATGACATGTCCTTCTTCAAACGAGGCTTGCGGAGAGTACTTTATGGTAGGCAGCGGCTTGGCTCTGCCCCTGGCATTGCTGACGTCCATGAGCGACGGTGACCACTTACCATCAGGTGGGCCGTGTGCTCGTCTGCCTACAAAGACAATAAAAAATAAAAAAATAGTCCTCCTTTATTTAATTCCTTTTAAACTGTAATAACAAAGGTATGCTGATTTAGATTTTTTTTTATTAATTTTAGATAAATATCTCTATCTTCTTTATAATTATTAACATTCTTTTGTTTAAGATAATTTGGAATACCTTTCTTAATTATTTTTATTAATTTTATCTTATTCGTCTTGCCTTATCCAAAATTATGTAGGGTCGGGGCAGCATCTCCTTTTACCATACTCCCTAGGGATTTGACATGAGCTTTAGTTTTGATTTATATCTCCAGTAGTATATCCAATGCAACGTTTTATATGAAGTAACTTGTTCTTCTTTTGGTATTTCTGTTACTTCATCCCCTTTTTATTATATTCACATTTACACTTCTTCTTTTTCTCCACCTTATCCCACTAGGTGGGTTCGGCACAGCTAATTTTTCTCTTCCATTCTCTTCTATCAGCCGTCATCTCAACACTCACTCCTCTCTCTCTCATATTGTCACTCACACACTCCATCCATGTCTTCTTCGGTCGACCTCTTCCCCCTCTACCTTGCACTACCATTTCCATACATCTCCATTTACACTAAAATTTCAAATTTCAAAAATACCAAAAGGTTAAAATGTCTCCCGTTTTGATTCGTTTTTATGTATTTTTACATTAATTTACGTAATGAATTATTGTTAGGTATAACAACCGTACTCACGATGACAACGATTAGCACCGGGGTCCGCAGTAGCCTCCCGCGGATCTCTTATGTCAAAGCCATCGACATCTATCTGGTGATGTGCTTCGTTTTCGTGTTCGCTGCCCTGTTGGAGTACGCTGCCGTCAACTACACATACTGGGGCGCCCGAGCACGGAAGAGGGCCAAGTTAAAGAACCGCGATCAGATGTCGACGAGTAGCTTCGAGAAGGACTTGAAGAGTTCTGGAAGTAATCCTTTTTTTTTCTTAGATGGGTGGACGATCTCACAGCCCACCTGGTCTTAAGTGGTTACTGGAGCCCATAGACATCTACAACGTAAATGCGCCACCCACCTTGAGATATAAGTTTTAAGGTCTCAGTATAGTTACAACGGCTGCCCCACCCTTCAAATCGAAACGCATTACTGCTTCACGGCAGAAATAGTCGGGGTGGTGGTACCTACCCATGCGGGCTCACAAGAGGTCCTACCACCAGTAATCACGCCAGAAATAGGCGGGGTGGTGGTACCTACCCGACTGGCTACCCAATTGGCTGTTTTTAAAAAAAAGTTATAACAATTGACGTTCTAATCGGGTTGGCTTAAAACTGTATTTAAAAGCTTCTATTACTTCTTATCAACAAAGTAGTAGGAACCTTACTTTATTTTCATTCCCTACTCTCTCTAACTCCTGTCTTAAATACTAGAAATATCTCAAATAAACGAAGGCGTTTCACCGAGTATGGGTTGGCTCGATGCTCCTGTCTATTTCTGCTACAAAGCAATCATACGTTGCGTTTGAATACCTGATGAGCCGTGAAATCATTCACCTATCTGAGTCATTTGAAAAATGTAGTGAGTTGAAATGAAATGAGTTGTCAAAGTATTAATTTGGTCGCCATAAGTGTACATGTGTCATAGTAGCCGGTTCTTTTCTCAGGGCCGCGTTCTCCAGACGAGATTATAGCGATTCGTGAGTGCACCACGAGTATGGGACGGGTTTCTCCACTGTTAGGATTACGGACGAAGCCATTGCCGTCGACTAGCGGGGGTCCGCCCTCACTGAGACTACAACGCGACAACACACTACGTTACAGGACGAGACCAAATTCTAGGAATTCGAGAAGTAATGAATTTCTTTTGCTGAATAAATATTTTTTTTTCGGGTAGAGGGCCGAACCTCCTACGAGGTCCCCGCGCAAAAGGGTATGTGAGACTCAACGATCTGCATGGTGTTGTGAGCAGACCGCGGGCCCAAGGATTTTAGGGCCCACCCACTAAACGACTCCCCTGCACTCTTACACCCGACGTCCGATCCCCTCCGTGGTCAGAACCCGGACGAGGTAGGTGGGTTACCGCGGTCAACACTACAACCAGACGGCGCGGCTCACCCCAAGGACGCCCAGCCGACGGAGCCTTCGAGGCGAATCGAAGGCTCTGAAACGTCGGCCGTCTCGGTACGGCAGCCCGTCGGGCCGCCCAGACGGTGCCGCTGGTGTCCCGGAATACCCCGCTGGACCAGAACCAGCCTGCCGGGTCGGGACGCGATACACCGTNCGGCGCGGCTCACCCCAAGGACGCCCAGCCGACGGAGCCTTCGAGGCGAATCGAAGGCTCTGAAACGTCGGCCGTCTCGGTACGGCAGCCCGTCGGGCCGCCCAGACGGTGCCGCTGGTGTCCCGGAATACCCCGCTGGACCAGAACCAGCCTGCCGGGTCGGGACGCGATACACCGTCGACCGGTCGCTCTATTCACTCCGCGGCAGCGCGATAGAGTGCTGGTAGCGCGCCGCACGGCCTCACCCCCTGAAGTCGCCCCTTGACCTTCACCGGGGGGAGGCCGCTAAGTAGTACATACCCTAATAGATTACTGTTTCTTTTACTTTTTCACTGGTTGCGAAGAGGAGCTGAAGGAACATCTGGTAGTTTCCAGATTCAAGCAACATCGGAATGTCTGAATGCAACCTCGACATAAGTACATGAAGTACTCTGAAAAGCGAGTTACACTTTTCATATGAAATGAAAACTTTGTGGCAGAAATAATGATAATGGTACCATCGCTGCTACTATCACAATACTTCCTACCATCAGTCTTATTGTTTTCCGAGTAGTGTTTACTACTTAATAAAAATGATAGTCGTTTCTCTGTCTATATTATATCAAGGTTGTAAAACCGATAAGTGTTAACTTTGGCGAACACGTACCATAGCTTCGTAGGTCCATCTGTACTCTAGACCAGTGTCGATAATTTTTGAAACCAAAAAAAATAATAGTAGGATGAAACCCATTAGAAAAGGAGGATAATATTATAAAAATGGAAGGAAAAATAATTTACGGGCGATCAGAGGTCGGGAGAGGATGTGGGGGGGGGGTTTAAGAGTAAAAAACGGTTTTTCTCGATTTCCAGCAAAACTAAAAGTCCTATGGAAAAAAGTCAAATGGCAAAGTTGTAGGTAATAAAAAGATCTAAAACTTTTGTATTTACAGTTTTTTCACATAACCTCAAGATTTATGTAAAAAATTCAAAAAACCAAGTTTTTGGTTTTTTATTTTTATCTTTGTCAAAAAAAAATCTTTTTTCACGAAATATTCTGAAAACTTACCTTTTTATGTCCCAAATACGCTGTAATTTATTTGATTAGAAATATTTATTTTTTCAGCTTATTTTGAATTAATATCGATAAAGCACCCTAATTTTCAATCGAAAATTCACCCGTCAAAATATCAGCTTTTTTCAAAAGGTTGGTATGTTTTCTGTTCGCTGAATTCTCTACTTTCCGATGGTGAAAAAAATATAAATATGTTACGGTAGTAAATCTTCTCAGAAAATGCAAAAAATCGAAAAAAACTCGAATTCGATTTTTTTTTTTTAATTTTGCCTGACTTTTAGTTTTGCCGGAAATCGAGAAAAACCGTTTTTTACCCTTAAAACCCCCCCCACATCCCCTTCCTGACCTCAGATCGCCCGTAAATTATTTTTCCTTCCATTTTTATAATATTGTCCTCCTTTTCTAATGGGTTTAATCCTACTATTATTTTTTTTCACTTTTTATTATTTTTAAAGGCTTCTTTCTACCCTGGTCTACTCTGCAATTTTAAAATTATATCAGCGTTCGCACATTATCTAATCACTGTGCATGTTTTCACAAACACCAACCGATAATATCTACCACTGGGCCGTTGCTGTTATTATGATGAGAGATATAATCATGGTTTATACAGCATTATTTACACTTTATTATATACAAGTGATAAAGAGCCCGATTTGCTTCAATCGATCCGTGTACGCAAGAACGCGTGCATACAGATTTGCTTTCACTTATCCTTAACTAACCTCTATATTTGTGTAGTTAGTTAGTATAATTAACAAAAATAGAGGTAACAATTAATTGAATAATAATTAACTTAACACCTCCGACATCTGACTGTGGCTATCTCTAAGTTTATAAATTACTAGCTGTACCCGTCCGCTTCGCTGGGCATTTAAATTTAACATTATTATTTCTCACCCCACAAAGATTCTCATCATTAACTCCCCCGCAACTGGTGTAGGGAGTCCAACACTAGCCTAGCCTAGCCTATCCATTAAGTACATGTATTTTCTACATGGATACCAAGTTTCAAGTTAATCGGATGCATTGTTCAGTAGTTATAATGGAACATCCGTAAAAACCACTAGATTAATATATTAGTAAGTATAGATTATATTTTTTTATTTCAGATGCGGCTAATAGCAAGCCTAAGATGATGCACGCGCTACGTCGCGGCGCTACTGTCATCAAAGCCTCGATGCCGAAGATAAGGGACGTAAATGTCATAGATACTTATTCCCGGGTCGTCTTTCCCGTGTGCTTCCTCATCTTTAACGCCGTCTATTGGGTCTTCTATATTTTCGATTGATTTGTTCCCTACATCATCAATTCCATTCAAATCGTTATATATTTTATGCAAAACATTTTATATAGCCGTATAATTTATAAAACTAGACAAACAATATTACTTTATATGTTAAAGGATTATTACAGATCAGTAAATGAGTGCCGATCGAGCTCACTTCTGTGATGTGTAGGTCAATCACAGCGTTTATGAATGAATTAGTTTGAGAATGGATCTACCTTCGACTAGGCTCTGATGAGTCTGCTGGTATACCTAGTTCCTGAGTGGGTTCGAGTTCTCTTATCTTTCGTATTTCGAGAACAAATCGTATACTTATTGTTTTTTACAACAACGGATAGAATACATTATGCAAAGTACATATCCAATAGGCTGAAAGGCCAAACAAAATTTAGTGACAATTAACTATCATGGTTGAAAATTAGCTATGTCAGCATGGCACTATGGTCAACAGTGTTAAATATTAAATTTTACTAATGTAGACAGCCAAGTATACGGCCCACTTGATAGTGAGCGATCACCGTCGCTCCAAAACCTGGCGACGTTTTAGATGACTGGTAGCGTTTTAGGTGACGAATAATGTCTTTTATGTTAAATTTTTATCAGTTATATAGACAGAATACTGAATATGAATAGCCTGTACTAGACTCTGGACTAGACGAATCCATAACTACCCAAAGTACGGTAAACTGTCCAAGGCTTGTTCGACAAAATAAAATTTAAAATATTATCGATAATCGTAAATGTTTTCGAATTTTTTAGGTGAACGTTTGTATGACAAAGGCGTTTGTAAAATTTTAATAAGTAACACTATTATATCTAATAAAATAGTTTTCAATGTGAGTAGGGATTAGAATGCTGCATGTTGTAATGAAACTGCCAATATTGAAACAAATAAGTATTTAGATGTTTACGCTATCATATTGATAAATTTTAAAATCTTTTCAGTTGATTAAGAGCGCACCGATGATATTAATTTTCATTACCATCCTGTATTGTAATTGCCTATTGCGCATTCTATACCTGTCTCTGTGTCTGAAACTGTTATATGGTTTGATTTTTTTAACCGTGCGCATCCAAATTTTGCGATCTCGTAAATATAGTAACAATTGTGAGTATTAATGGGTTATTGATCGATAATGAGTGACCATTCAACGAAGAGTAATGTTGCACTAAAGTAAATAAAAAAAAAAAAAATAAATTCATTCCCGATGTATCGCGGTCGAAATTAACCTTATAAAGAACCAAGCGATAATAGATGTCATTTTAAAATCCTTTAAAGCTTCTTGTGTTTTGTAATACTCCGAAGCAGTGACTATGCCATTTTTTTTAAAAGTCACCGTGTAAAACAATAAGTTTTAGGATTTATAGCATAAACCTTGTCTACGAGAGTCCTACTTAAAACTACTTTTACGGTTTAACCTCCTGGTTTAATTGATATTATATTATTTCCAACGCTTTGGAGAATGCAGTTTTCGTGACTATAAAAAAGTACGAACGTAAACATAGTTTTAGTTATGTTTAGGATATCAATAAAAAATGATCTAAATAACACCCTTCCCTTGACATTTATGACGTGTGTGTTCAAACCACGAAGAGTAGTTTAGTTATATACTCACCGTAGCTTGTTTAATAAATTGGTTCCAACATTTATCAATTATACGTGCATTTCATGAATTTATAATAGAATTTTTGAATTTTCACTATTCGGCCTCAGTTAGCATGTATGAGTTTTATTATAATGCTTGATATTGTATTATTGTTTCCAAAACCAAAAACTGAAAGTTTACATAAAATCTTAAAGCTTTTTAAACTTGTGCTTTGGAATCTGAGGTTAGGCTGACGTCAGGCTTGAAACGTACCTATCTACTCAACAATATTAATGAGCACTTCTAATAATTCTGTGTTCTAAATCTACATTCTTTGTCATAATATTGATCTATAAAACTTAGCTGATTAAATAGAGGAATTTAAAAGATGATGTGATCTATTCGGAGTTGTTCACAAAAAACTTCAAAAGAATCCATTATGTAGCACTAAGTATATGTTAGCACTTTGAATGTATAGTTACATTTTCTGTGTAAATAAATAAAGTTTTTAAACTGTTTACCTTGTAAACGTCATATAGATTCATTGATGTTAACGTTAGATTTAGCTTAAGAATATCATATAAATTAATGTTTAATACGAAAATGCACGTTGTGTTTTATTTTTCCCGTCGTTTGATAGGTGTATTTATAAAGTTTTTTTGTTTTTTTCGTTCAAAGGAGAGTTGAACTCGCGATCAGTCCTAATGTTATTGGAGCTCATAGGAACCGTATAGTTAATGCCACTGCCCATAGCAGAAAAACGGTATAGTATAAAAGTGAGCCCGTTCACCAATATACGGTTATTCCAGAAAAAGCAGTTACTTGATCTTTAAAGAGTTGAATTTTGTGTTGTATTTTAAGTAACGTTATAAATAGCACTTAATCTCGGTAAAATTTAAAGGTACCCTCTTAAGCCATTAATTGAGCGAGATCATAAAGTTTTTAAAATAATATACGAGTTTCTTCAGTAATGATAAGTATGTTTAGAATTGCACGATTCTCTTCGACCAATTCTGCTGAGGTTCGTTTAGCAGTCATAGGGTACTTACTAAATGCTAGTGCAATATTTCTTTTTTACCATTCTTTATCACCGCAGACGAGCTGATTACAAAAGTCACAAGAGAAATGTCACAAATATCACAACGTCTATGGCGCAACCTACTTTGAAAGATGAGTTAAAATCCAATTGTGTTCTATAAAGGTTATTCCACACTCGGAACCAGTAAACATGATTTCTTTACGGCAGAAATAATGATTGCATTCATGCGGGGAAATTCTTGCTTTACAACGTAGTGCAATAGTATCAACATGAGCATGGCACTACCTTGGTATATAAAGATAATTGCCCCCCACCTGGTGTAGGGAGTCCAACACTCATATACGTATTAGCCTATCCATTAAGTACATGTATTTTCTACATGGATACCAAGTTTCAAGTCAATAGGATGCATGGTTCAGTAGCTATAACCGAACATCGGTAAAAACACTAGATTTATATATTAGTATAGATTCTAGCTGTAAGTTCATATACTAAATGGAAGAATTAGAAATTATACATCAAATATGTACTCTGTGAATGTGACGGTCTATTCAGTAGCAGAACGGACATCTTGGATGACAGATGCCCGGACCAAAGTCTATAGGATCTTATGTTGAAAAGCTCTATCGATGTTTAAGGAATTGAATGAAATATGGGGCCTCACACAAAAGTTTTTGAAGGGTCAAAGTATCGGTTATTACTATTGCTTAGTCCCAAATAAAATGCGATTTGTAGGGCTCACAATACGCCCTTCAACCCATAAATATCTCCCAAAGTATGGCAGCATTGGACGCCGCTCATGACATCCAATAATCGCGATAAACTTCTGGCAAATTACATTAAATTCTGATTTTTAATTTTAATGCTTATAAGATTGTATGTACATCTGGAGGGCTTTTTCCTAATTTTAAAATAAATATTATATATATTTAATTTGATACAAATCTATAATATTCAGTTTCCTTGATAGTTGACATCTATTTTACTTTGATTGAAATTAAACAAAGATGACTCGGTGCGTTCTCGGGTCACATTCCAAGCTATTGAATTAAATGGTTTCTTTAACGCTAGCGACATCATCGTGAGTTTTGTGCGAAAGACGTTCTTTTGTAGACTGACATCTATAGTAATGGCACGAACTATCTGGACAAAGTATCAAACCTCTGCGAAAATAAAGCGAAAAGGAACATTTAAAGACAGCTATATTTCCATTGGTACGTAAGATGTCAGTAGTGAAAATTATTAGATTAAAAATCTGCGTGAAAATAAAATAATCCTTAATGGAACGATATCTTAAAAGTAATATACTGTTTGTTTGAACGGTATTTATTTTTATTTTAAACTACCTAATTCGATCTCATGTTTCAACGTCAATTCTGACTATTTCAGACAAAAAGCAGTGATGCGTTTCGGTTTGAAAGTTGCTACACACACATTAAACAATATAACCGAAATTTCTATCTCATTTCTCAAGCCATCATTCACATTGTCATGTATGTCTATGAGATAAGGTAAATATTCAACACCAGTGTGCTTAGTGCGAGTTTTTCAACGTTCTCCATAGCTAATAAGATACCTAACTTAAATTTAATCACGGTAGGCAGCGGCTTGGCTCTGCCCCTGGCATTGCTGAAGTCCATGGGCGACGGTAACCACTCACCATGAGGTGGGCGGTATGCTCGTCTGCCAACAAGAGCAATAAAAAAAAAAATTTTTTTTGCATGGAGTTGGAACGTTTGCCTACGTTTGCCGCTAGGGGCGCTGTTCCAACTGCATACAAATTTGAGTTAAATTTTACGTTATCGAGAACGTTAAAAAACTCGCACTAAATACACAGGTGAACCGTGATCTGGGTCACCCATGGTTGGATAGTAGTACTTATACTTTTTTTTATTTCCGTATAGGCAGACGAGCATACGGCCCACCTGATGGTGATGATTTATACTTGCTGGCTTTACAATACAACTTATACTTAAGGCCCAATTATTTTTAAAAAATCGTTATTAGTAAATTGCGTCGAGACATCGGGTTAAAACATTCCATAATTGAACACCGGAAAACCATAAAGAGTGTAATGCTGAAGCCGTCAGTCTTAGACTACTACGAATGAACAGATGAGAATTGATCGATATCTTAACTTCGATATCTAATCTTATGGATACTTTAACTACCTAAACTTTTTTCTTTTTTTTTGTGGTTTTATTTTAAAAGTCTTTTTTTATTAACTGGTGGTATTTAATTTGGATTGCTGTTTATACTTAAGCTGCCTGATGATGAAAAGATGTATGTTACTGAGCTATTTAGGACAAGAGCAAAATTTAATCACATTAGATTTCTATTAAAATATTGAAAGTATCGTCATTGAACGCTGTTTATAACATGTCAAATGAGGTTGGCGGAGAGTACTCAGGGACAGGCAGCGATTTGGATGTGCCCCTGGTATTGCTGACATCCATGAACAACGGTAATCACTCAATCAGCGACAGTAGGCCTTATGCTCACCTGCTTACCAAAAATATATAAAAAAACCTCATTAATCAAAATAACATTACATTCGTCGCGTTTAAAGTCAATACGGATTAAAAGTGAAGATAACTAAATAGCTAAAATGCTATTAAGGCTTAAACGCGTTGCTAAGGGGCAACATACATGTGACATCCATGCTTGTGGACTTGATCTATTTTCATCAAACGTTATTCACAGCGGGCGATACAATACAAGTGTAGGAGAGCGTTCAGAGTGATTTTTATATGGAGGCGTTAGGCGGTTCATTCATTGACGAGGCAGAGGCTGCGCGGACTGCGTGAGCTGTGAAGGGGGGTGAGAGAAAGCTTCAGATCACCTAGTACCTCTCCGGGCACCGTTGCGTCAATACGCTCTCGGAGATCCATATTGAGAAATAAAAATATTCTAGTCTCATTACTACATTAACTTTTCAAATGCTGTGTATTAAAGAGTTAGTGTTTTTTCGATTCAGTGATTCTTAGTTTGACAACTCTTATTAGACACCAACATTTTGAGAACTTTTCTGTTGTTCCGGGTTTCAAACTATGGTGCATCTTTGATAAATAATCCGGTAAGTCGTTGAAAAATATTTTTTTTACTGTTTATATCTTTTTCTTTTCAATCATTTCACTCTTGACAGAGTGGTTGTGATCCTCATGCAGTGTTGGAGGGCAGACATGACTTGTCTCATTTTGTCCCCGCCATCTCTCTCTAACATTTTATCTCAATTAACTATTTATCCCAATTTTATATCATTTATTACACCGTTTGTAAGTGTAAATAGGAAATCGGATAGAGTCTACATTTCACATCCTACAATCAGATTATATAGAGTTTATATATAATATGTAGAGGTGAACATGTGATCTCGTCATTTTCATCTCTACCATTATAAGCTCTCTAAATCTATACATTTTCTCAGTATTCTTGTGACGTCGTAAGATTTTAGGTTTCATCGAGCGATCCGTGGAGCGTGGGCGGGTGGAGGTGCCGAATTTCAGACTCCGGTGGTGGCTAGGGGGTGACGGGAGACGCGCAGGGGCGGGCGTGGGTCGCGCAATCTACCCCGTATTGATCGCCCAGTTTTCATACGTATTAGTTAAACAACTTAACTATGAAATAGGTATCCTGTTTGTCTTTACGTTCGAGACTGTGTGACGAACAAATTATTTCGTAATTGAAGTAGATACACGATATAAGTGGTCTAAACGTTTCTCAGAAAAATGTCTCCACTGAGCGGACAGCATGTAATGAAATGAATGTATGTATGTATGACGAAACGTTGTGTTTTAAATTAATACGATCTCATTAATCATTTTTAACAAAAAGAAAACCGACTTCCTAAAATTAAACGAGATTATCATTAATGAATTCAATTTAATATGCATTATTAAGGATAAGTCGAAAACAACTGGTCAGATCTGGTTCAAAGAACACTCAAAATCGGATCACCTAGAAAAAAGATTTGAGGTAACGCACACACAAAAAAAAAACAATTGAATCTAGAAACTCCTCATTTTTTGGTATCAGTTAAAATTATCGGCTGTACCGCCTCTCAAACCGAAGTTCGTGGTGGCGATTATTTTGTTTTTTTTTTTACATTCGACCTGTCTTCTTCATTCTATTTAGGTCTTGTGGTACACATTGTGGTGGTATTCACATTGTGATGTTCAAGTGGACCCCTAGGCGCTCAACACCAGACGAACTGTAAGCTGTTTTGACTATCTTCTCGAAAATAGTACTAAATGTTCCAAGACAATCATTTTGTACATAAAGATCCTCTTTGCCCATTTAGATCAGGGCCTAAGAATACACTAGTTATTTTAGATCTCATAGGGAAAGTCAATTTGATATTCTGAATTTTGAACCCAGTCTATGTTTGCTCACGAATTATTCCAAAATATAGTATAGTATTTGAATAGTCTTCATTTTTTACGTCTTTCGGCTTACTACTTACTCATATCTTTTGTGTGTTGTAATCTTGAGCCACAATTCCGCTAACTTACAATGAAAATAAATTGCGTTGACAATTCCTGTGATCTCAAACTTATTATATTTTATCAGGGATAAATATTAAGTACATATCATATGTCATATGTTTTAAAATACTTTCGAAAACCTAAATAAATGTCTTATCAAGAGAATTAAATGAATCATATTTTACTTCTGAATCAATTCTTAAATGACGATATATAACAGATTGTTCTGATAAGCTTTAATCGGCTTACTTCATCAGATCTATTGAACCCTCTATAAAATCTATAATTTAATCTGAAGTACTAAGAAAAAGCTCTTCAAAGCTTTCGTTCAAACGGCGACACGTGAACACACAGAATAAATAAATAAACAACCCAAATAAATTAAAAAACAAAATTTATTGATTAGGTAAGACCAAGATATAAAATTTGATAATTAAATTATGAAATGCACATTAAATAGCATTATATTGAAACATATTTTTTTTAATTCCAGTTTCTATTTTAGTAATTTTCACATTTGTAACTCCCGTATAAATTCTGTAATACTATGTAAACGTTTTATTGAGCTAGAATACCGCAATAATTGTCTAATTTCGTGGATATATCGTACCGTTATGATTTCGAATAGAGAAGTATCTCTTCAGTTTTCGTAGTTACAAACCACAGACATTTGTTGGAAATAAAAAATCCTGTAATCACACTATCGTCTCAGCTCTATTACTTAAAATCGCTCTAGTATATCATTTTAAACAAATATAATATTGCTTAGGCTTTAAGAACAGAAAAACAAAAATCTGAACTTGTTAAGGTCGGTATCGTCTAAGATTATTTTTCTCGCAGCAAATATTATTGATGTCTATTAATAAGTATCCTTGTAGCGAGCCGAGGCCGGGAATTAAGAGTACCTAGGGTCCGCTGCGTAGAATGCGCGGTCGGCTGCGTCGTGAATGAAAAATATATCAACAAGTAGCTCGTAAGGGCGAGTTCGCCCGCGCATGCGCCTTCAGCTCGTCCATTTTTTCCAATATGGTAGTTTGTTCGAAGCCGCCATTTTATGAGCTTCGACCTAATTTTAACTAGGCGTTTGAGCTGCATTTAGTGCATACACAGACCTAGGATGGATTGGTTGTGCAAGTGCATCCAATGGTAATATATTGCGCAAATTTATTGATTGAAATTCATTAGATGCTATGGGGCACTTGAAGGGATTGTGTGGGTGTTGGATTGGGTGTGGTGGGATTGTTTAGTTAGTAATTTTCATTAAATTTCTTGCATATACAGATTATTTTTTATACAATTGATTTTCGATTAGCAGTTTCAACATTTAGACTACATAATTCGTTCTCTACAAATCTTGTTAGCGGTATGTTCCAAACATCTTAGTTTTAAGAGTGATCATATTCATTTTTATTAAACTGCTTTATCAAACTGCACGGGCTGCATTATTTATTTTCGTATATGAGTATATTTTATATTGTTACATACTCCCGGATCGGATTAAATAAAAGCTTTCCCCGAAGTACAAATGAAAACATTATTCAATACTTGCAACACTTAAGGTATGCTTCATAATTCGCAATTCACTTCTTCCGCTTCGCTTCAGGTTATCCGTTCGCTGTTTCGCTTCAAATAAAACTAATTACTGAGTCGACTATTATCAAAGCCGGCAATCTGACTTTTGGACAATGATTGGTAAATCAGAAAAACGAATTATTGACTTTGTATTCCATTGGCAGTCACAAAACTCTTCGGAACGACATCTTAGATAAATAACAGGTTAACTATTAACCTTTATTTAATGCAGGTTTTGAACCGTATTCTTTGAAGGAGACGATTATATTAACAATATATACTTTTTTTAAGTGTAATCACCCTCATAGACAATACACATAAATTAGTTATAGATAAGCAACTCAAGCATTCAACAAAAATGTTTAGGGGCGTCGGCCTGTAGATGGCAGTAACATATTACCTATATTCTATTTTTAATGAAGGATTTTGTAAATCTTCAGAAACCACAGGTTTAGGGGCAGCCGCTACAAGATGTCGCTAGTTTCCGTACAGAAAAAATATTTTTCTTAAAGTATCGCAGTTTCAGGGCCCTGTTCACTCTCACTACTTAATACTACGCTACCTGATCTGATTTTTATATATTTCAACCCTCAACGACCACTACTATTACTGCGCTTTCGCTATAACTCCGATGTCGGTCTTAGCTTCCGACAATAAACGCCGCCATTCGTCCCGGCGCTGCGTAAATCTTGCCATCAGTTAAATTAAAAAAAAATGTTACTTTAATCAGGTGAGGCGTGTCCCGGAAATTTGAGCCATGGTGCATCGGGCGCGAGTGAGGAGCGCCTCCGTGCTCTCCGCGCATGTCAATTAGATTCACTTCAAAGCTGCATCACGGTGCATTCGCCGCCATGCCAGCACCGATCGTCGTTTATATCATTTCATTCTTCTTCTTTTGGCTGTACGGTGAGTACGGTAATTGACAGAATATATTTAGAAAATATTTTAATTAATCGTATTTTGAATGTGATTAAATATGTTTTAGTGCTTGCGGATGAACCGATCGGCCAAAATGGACCTCAAGCAACAAACAATTCGGTGGATGCACCGGACCCTCGCTCTCCTTTGGGCAGAGTACCACCATATCAACCACCGCCGGCAGGAATGGGAGTAGGTCCCAATCCAATGAATTCTCCGGGATTTTGGCCACACGGCATCTATACTCGCGTTGAAGGCTGGCATCGTACGTATGCTACAATTGATTTTATTTCATAGCATTATCAAAGGTGATTGACTAAATCTCATTATAGATCGGCCAAGCCTTCAAAAGGCGATTGATGTGATTCACACCGACCCGGATGATGGACCCCTCAACGAAGGGACAGAAGACGACGCAGGCTGTATTACACCTTGCCTCAAAATCAATTTCTCGTGTCAGGTAAAAATCTACCTTTACATAAAAATTTTCCTTTTTAAGGTCCTACGAACAGATTTGTTTATAGATATCCTGCACGTGCATTCCTATGGAAAAACGTTGCGATGGAATTGCTGATTGTGCCGAAGCCGAAGATGAGGCCGGCTGCGCGAGATCCTGTGACGAACATGAAAACCGTACCATTTGTCACAGCACAAATGTGTGCATCGCTTTAGAATGGCTCTGCGATGGAGACAATGACTGCGGGGATTTCTCGGATGAGATCAATTGCGGTAATTTCTATTCTATTTTAAACCTTGCTTTTTGTTCAACTAGATCGGTACACTAGCACATTATCCGCCTGGAGTTAAGTGCATGCAAGAGCTCATAGTCATATGCTCTGGTTGTTCTACAATTGTAAATGAGATCTGGATTGATATAGATACTTGTGTACAGGTGCACCTACAAATTGTACAGCCGATCAATTCCAATGCTCCAACGGCCTATGCATTCATAAAGGATGGGTGTGTGATGGTGACAACGATTGTCGTGACAACTCAGACGAAACTAATTGCACTAAAGGAAGGTGAGTTATTAAAATTTCAATTTGGGCATTCACACATACACATAGTAGTTCATAGCAGAGTTTTTATATGTATTTGTTTTCCTGAATAACGTTTTTTTTAACCGACATAATTGGTAATCATAAATAGGTTTAGAAAAAAGGATAAACGATTTTAAACTCATGATAATTTGTCTCTTCTACAGCTTAAATTTATATGGATATGTACTAGAATATGTTTATTGTGCATCAAAATAGTTTATAAAAAAATATGCAATGAGAAATAAAAGTATAAAGGGCGGTCTTAATACTGGAAGAGATTTCTTCTTCGCTATGAGATTACTTAAGGAATAATTTATTGGAACTTATATAACTTATAACTATACTTGAGACCTTAAATCTCAAGGTGGGTGGCGCATTTACGTTGTGGATGTCTATGGGCTCCAGTTACCACTTAAAACCAGGTGGGCTGAGAGCTCGTCTATCTAAGCAATAACAAAAAAACTTAAGTTGGAAGGAGGGATAAAAAGGAGTATCTTGCTTTTTTTATAATAGTTAATTATATACAGAGCCATTGTCACTACAGAAATATAATGTAGATAAATCATAGCAGCTATTATAAAATACATTTTCGGTCATATTTGTATTTGCACGGGTTCGTCCATATCTTTTGGAAATTGATTTGTTTTCACAATATCATTTCTTCAACAAAATGTAATGGATCTTTTTTAAAAATTACTTTGTTTCAATTCTAGTTTCCTATCACTAAAATACATAGGTTCATTTGTTTATTGGTTAAACTGTTACCTCCATACTTAATGTTTTAATGAAAAATGAAAACAGGTTCATTTTTCCATTACAGATAATTGTGATAGTTGTTTTTATTTTATTGACGAAAATAGACCTGTTTCTTCTTAATCTATACTAATATTATAAAGAGGAAAGATTTGTTTGTTTGTTTGTAATAGGCTCCGAAACTACTGGACCGATTTGAAAAATTCTTTTTCCATTAGAAGCCGACATTGTCCCTGATGAACATAGGCTACTTTTTTTTTATTTTATTTTTTTATTATTTTTTTTTGTTTCATGTGTGTTAATGTTTCCGAAGCGAAGCGAGGGCGGGTCGCTAGTATAAAATAAACTGATTGTACATGATTTTAATGAGTTAAAAAGATAAATCTTTTAATTATAATTCGTGGGTAGAATCAACGTGAAAGCTATATAGCAAACAAGAACGCCTACTCGAAAGTAAATATCATAATCAACTCGACATCTTCGACGTCAAAACTCGTTGGTTCGTTGTCAAAATGCATTAAGGCAATCTCAGTTGAGTGGGATTACGCACGTGTCACCCCTTACCATAACCTGCCCCATGATGTCATTGTTATCTAGGGTGAATAGGTATTACGTCATTCTGCTAATGACTCACACGGGTTGTGGGCGAATCTTTCATTTGCGTAATTCATTACGAGTATCGTTTGAAAAGCTATTCTATTCCAACGCACGGTATTATAGGGAGCTTTTCAAATAATCTTGAACGTGGATTGGAATATTATGTGTACGTACGTACGTGTCAATGAAACCAGGAGATATCAAATAGACTACCTAACAATAGACTCAAAAAGTATTTATATAACAAGTATCTAGGTTTTGTACGAACATTCAGTATTAATTTTATAGTACCGAATTCCACAGCTTTTTTTTTATTGCTTAGATGGGTGGACGAGCTCACAGCTCACCTGGTGTTAAATGTTTACTGGAACCCATAGAAATCTACGATGTAAGTGCGCCACATACCTTCAGATATAAGTTCTAAGGTTTCAAGTATAGTTACAACGGCTGCCCCACCCTTCAAACAGAAACGCATTACTGCTTCACGGCAGAAATAGGCAGGGTGGTGGTATCTACCCGTGCGGACTCACAAGAGGTCCTACCTACCTCTAGTGAAAGCTTCTGTAAAATAATTCAATTTCAAATATACAACTATCGTAGTATATTGAATAGGGCTAGAACAGTGCGACAAAACGGATAAAATCGAGATCGGTACAGATTGGTAGCACATTCGTAGCGGTTGGATCAATATTCCAGGGCGGGGGCGGCATTCCGTCTACGCGCAGCCTGCGCCCTGAGAGCGATCCGCCGATTCAAGCAGCTTCCGTGGGCGCACTTATTATTCTAAGCTTAATTTTTTAAACACAGTTTTTTGTTTCTACTTTTTGCTATGATATTTTAATAAACGGCAATAGAAGTACATTAAACTTTAAATACGTTTAACTGATAGCTTACGCCCTTTCGCCCCTGTGCTATTATTATCTAAACACATTCATGATCAAGGAAAAAAAAAATGTTTTTTAATAACTAATAAAGAATAATTTATTTTTATGATGAATTGCCTATTTTTTCATATACGCCGAGCATTTTTTAATCCATTCACCTTTTCATCCTTTACAACCTACGTCATGATATGAACTCTCTCTTCACCTTTTGACAGATTTAAAGTTTATGAAACCATTTTTTTTTCATGCATTATGCAGATCAGATCCGTTTCAGATACATTTACTATACATATAATGCGGTATTTTTTAAATCTTCTTATTGTTTTGTTTTGAATCCGTTCAATGATCTCGATGTTATTATTCTTGGCAGTTCTCCAAAGTGCAAGCCATTTATCTGATTGACTTCAAAACGGTTTTGTAGATGGTCATTTTGCCTGTGGATGCGAGTTGGCATTTTTTCCAATTAATGTTTCCAGTCTTGTGACTAACCGTTCTCGGTTGGACCAAATGTCTTTAAGCCACATTCGTCTATCTAGGTATATGCCTAGACTGAATGTAATGTGAGCATTATATGAAATGCCATTTAATTTATCTATTTTACCTTGCGTGTAATACGTCATATTCCATTCCATTCCATTCCAAAATAACAACTCCCGTTTCTGATTTATTTATTTATTTAAAAATTGCATGTAATTTCTGAAATAAAGTGGTCCTAGCCTAAACGATAAGAGGTCCGGTGCATTTGTATGTAGTTATGCATCGGTGTTCGAATCCCACCGGCAGGTACCAATTGTTCAAATAAAATACGTGTTTAACAAATATGCACGATTGACTTCCACGGTGAAAGAATAACATCTATACATATAAAATTGAATTGCTGTTCGTTAATCTCGCTAAAACTCGAGAACGGCTGGACCGATTTGGCTTGGTCTTGAACTATTTGTGGAAGTCCAGAAAAAGTTTAAAAGGTAGATAAATATGAAAATGCTCGGAATTAAATAGAAAATAACAATTTAGTTTTTCCTTTGATGTGTCCCCCGTCGGACGGATTCCTTTTGTTTGTTTTAAGTTTATTTTATACAAAAATTTAGGTCTTTTATTTATCGATTGAGGCGCTACGAAGTCTGCCGGGTCAGCTAGTCGTGTTATAAAAATCAAACTCGCAAAATTATAATTTGCGTAATTACTGCTAATCTTGTGTGTCCGCACGGGTAGGTATCAACCACCCTGCCTGTTTCTGCCGTGAAGCAGTAATGCGTTTCGGTTTGTAGGGCGAGGCAGCCGTTGTACTGTTAAAAGTGTGTGAGACCTAAGTAAGAACTCATGTCTCAAGGCGGGTGGCGGCATTTACGTTGTAGATGTCTATGGGCTCCGGTAACCACTTAAAACCAGGTGGACCGTGAGTTCGTCCACCTATCAAAGCAATAAAAAAAACATTTATATATTATATTTAAATATTATCGATGTTCGAATTAGATGTCGTGAAAACCAGTTTACTTGTGCCGTCGGCGAATGCATCTCTCAACATTGGAGATGTGATCACGAACCCGACTGTCCGGATAGCTCTGACGAAGCCGACTGTCGTGAGTATCTACTTATAATGATAATATAAAAAAAATACCCTCCAATAACAATTGTATTCTGTCTCCTAAGACGTCCGAAGTCTTGGGAATTATGAAAACCGATATGAAAGACGGCGTCAGGAGGCGGAACGGGTTTTAAAACTCTCAATTGAATTAAACTCTGAACTTCGATTCACATTAAAGGTGATTAGATATGAGTCGTTCTGTGCCAAAAAAGCATTAGATAATGCGGCAAATCCACGTTCGACATGGAACCAACGTAAGACTAAGGTCCTCCAGAAGTCAAAGCTCCTTGACCCTTAATTCAGTAAAAGTTGGAAACGCTGCACACTTTTTCTGAACATCTTTATAACGCACCACGCTCCAATCCGGCTTGTCAAATCATTGCATATCTTTAATTTTGTCGACACACGTCTGAATTGGTTTTGGTAGAGCGTAGTTTTTTACAGAAATGCTCAAATCTAAACTCCGCCTCTATTTTTTTTTAAGGGAGATTATGACTTAGTAACTAAGACCTTTAGGTCATGCATACTAGTACATACGTACTAACCGTCGTGACGAAGATAAGATGTATTCAACAAGAGGTTCTACTTATGTTAATATTGTATATAACATGTTATGTTAATATTATAAAAATACATTTATCAAGTGAGTAAAAAATTCTCAACAGGGTATGCAGGCCGCTGTTTGCCTAAGCGATACCTAAGCGATAGGTCGAGTTTTAACGTAATTTCTTTTAGAATTGGCCGTAACAGATAATTCTATATTTTACTAGCGGTGGAGCTCATGCGTTGCGCAGAAATCGATTTTGAATGCAAAAACACGAAATGCGTTCCCAAGGATTTCCAGTGCGACGGCGACAACGACTGTGGCGACTGGACAGACGAAGACTCGTGCCCAATGGTGCCTGGAAGTTGCAACGCTGGCGAATTCAAGTATGAACGTTATGAATGCTGAACAAAAATACTAAATCTTTTTGATATCGACGCTTGAAAGGCAAACGTGACTAAGCGACAATGCGTGAACTTTACAGTAGACTAATTCAAAGTTGAAATACCTGAAAAAAAAACTGAATTATTTTAACGAATCTAGCTGTAGGATTGAAATGATTTTAATAGACCTAGAAATATATTTTTTTTGCGCATCGAATATGGTTATTGCCTATCATTTATGTATAAAGCAGTTATTGTCGCTTAGTCACGTTTGCCTTTCAAGCGTCGATATGTATTAAGCCCTGTTCAATGTTTTGTTAGATGCAACGACGGCAAATGTATACCGGAAAGATGGCGATGTGACAACGAAAGGGACTGTGCAGACGGTGGAGATGAACTAAACTGCAAACCGAATAGCATACGAAATTGTTCATTAGATGAATATACTTGCGCTGATCGAAGATGTGTATTGGTGAGTTTCAGCAATCAAAACACATCGTCTTTCTTGAAAACACATTTGAAGCAACATGTAATTATTTCAGAAAACCTGGCTCTGTGATGGAGTTCGAGATTGCACTAATGGTGAAGATGAAATGAACTGCGAAGTTAGCTGCGAAGAAGATCAATACACTTGTAGGCCTCAAGAACATTTAATGAGTAACGCTTTTAGGAATTGCGTAAACAGGAAGCACGTTTGTGATGGTATGAAGGACTGTCCTCGTGGCGATGATGAAGAACGATGTCCGTTGAAGAGAAAATGTTCTGCCGAGGAAAAATGCGAGAAGTTATGCATTACTACGTACGACGGTCATGCAGCATGCGCTTGTCCTATGGGATTTTTATTAGCTGAAGATAAATACAGGTAAGTTAATAATAGCTACTTTTAGAATAGGTTTTCTGTAGAGCTTAACTTTTAACAAAGCCATTTTTAGTTGCCGAGACATCGATGAGTGTATGTACGAACAAGATCCAGTATGTTCTCAAACATGTTCCAATACAGTCGGAAGTTTCCGTTGTGGTTGCATGACTGGCTACATCTTAAGACCTGATGAAAGGTCTTGTAAGCCAACAGGCGAATCACCAACACTTCTGTTCTCGAATAGGATTGGGATACGACAGGTAGGTTTATACCACTTAAGGATAGGTTGGTTATATAAGTTGCTTCAAAATTCATTCACTTTATTTTTCTAGGTGTGGTTAACTGGCGATAATTACATGTCCGTGGTCAAAGGTTTACATAATGCGGTAGCTTTAGACTATCATTACGAAAAGAAACTTGTATTTTGGTCTGAAAATAACTTACGGGTTATCCGTGTTGCGCAAATGAATACAAAAAATATGTCAGGTAATAAAAATATATATTAAATATTGCGTTTTTATTTAGTACTGACTCCGTAGATTATCAATCAAAATTGTTTTAGATGTCATTAGGTGGGGATTAGAGACACCGGCAGGAGTGGCAGTAGATTGGATACACGATCTTCTCTTCTGGACCGATTCAGGAACAAGAAGAGTTGAAGTGGCAACCCTTGATGGTTCCAAAAGAGCGGTTTTAGTTGCCAACGATTTAGACAAACCACGGGCAATTGCTGTACATCCCGGAGACGCATTAGTATTTTGGACAGACTGGGGTATTTTTTAAAAGAAATATAATTAAAATGTATGGCGAGAATTTTTTTAGACGATACATATCTAATAAACACCTTTTAGGTCCTAACCCGAAAATTGAGCGTGCTGATATGGATGGCGATAAACGCAAAACTGTTATATATGACGAAATTTTTTGGCCTAACGGACTAACTATTGACTATACGGAATCTAAAATATACTGGGCTGATGCAAAGCACCATGTTATCGAAAGAGCTGCCTTTGACGGACGAGATCGGCGCAAGGTATGATATTTCGGAAACATCTTTTGTTTTATTTTTTTGCTTAGATGGATGAACGACTTCACGGACCATCTGGTGGTAAGTAATTATTGGAGCTCTCAGATATAACAAGATGTCTCGATTGTATTGCTTAATGGCTATCTTACCCCTTAAATTGGAACGCATAGCTGTTTTGTGGCAGAAATAGACAGTGTAATGATACCTATTGGTGCGGGCTTACAAAACAGTACCACAAGTAAGCGGTTGGCGATCGCAGTACTCTTGTATAATACTCAGAGATCGCTACTGCAGATTTTCTGATGATTTCGACAGCCGCGGAAAGAGATAGAGTGATGCTATTCTACTCATAGAACACCGCACGCCAATAGAGTTTTCATGCGGATTTAAACGTTTTAAATATGTAATAGGTCACAACGAAAGGTCTTCCCCATCCGTTCGCGTTAACACTGTTCGATGATGCCATTTACTGGACAGATTGGCATACGAAAAGTATTTCTACCGTTAATAAGAATACAGGAATGGGTATTCAAACTGTGCATGCTGGACTTAATGTCCCTATGGATATTCATAGGTGAGTTGGGTATTAAAAATTATACATAATATTAACTGTTCACTTATTCAGAAAGCTATTTTAGAAATTGTGTTTTCCAGTTACCATCCCCTCAGGCAATTAAGAACATACAAAAATAAATGTGGCAAAAGCAACGGAGGCTGTAGTCATCTTTGTCTTCCTAATGCATACGGATTTTCCTGTCGATGTCCAGTTGGGTTCAATTTAAATTCTGACGGGTAAATTATAGTGTAATTTTATACTTTGTAATCATATTTAATGCATTGAGATATTAAATTTAAAACATAGCCGATTTTCAAGTAAAATTTAATGCCTGACAATTTTCAGGCGATCTTGCGAAGAAACTCCCGAAAAACTATTATTGTATGCTCGGAGGAAAGATTTAAGATTGAAACAACTAGAATCTAAGAAGCCAATAGATTCTTTAGACATGGTAGGTGGTAATTATAAAAATGCGAATTCTTTACTTTGTCTGTTTCTAATATAATTAAGCAAGAAATAAAAATATTGCTATAAAATATCGTCAACACATTCAGGTTATTCCTGTTGAAACTATTAAATCGGCAGTGGCTTTAGACTGGGATCAGAAAAGTAATTCTATCTTTTGGACGGATGTGGAAAAAGACACAATCAACCGCGCATACCTTAATGGATCCCACCAAACTACTATTGTGGATTCTAACCTCAGTAAGATTATTTTATATATACAAAATACAGCATGAGTTGATTGTTTTTATTTTTAAATGTCACTGGTTAAATTTGCAGTTTGGCCAGCGGGTTTAGCATTTGATTGGATTACTGATAAAATCTACTGGACCGACGGTGGAACAAACAGAATTGAAGTTTCGAAATCTGATGGTAGTATGAGAACTTTGTTAGCTTGGGATCACATTGATAAACCAAGAGATATTGTTGTTAATCCAGAAGGTGAGTTCGTATTACGATAAATTCATAATAACATCTCGTAGGGCTTTAATTTAAAATACCTGTTTCGTCGTATTATAGGCGGTGTTATGTACTGGTCTGATTGGGGAGCGAGTCCGTGCATTGAAAGAGCCGATATGGATGGTGGTAATCGCAAAAAACTCATCTTCGGACAAATGACTTGGCCTAACGGATTAGCTTTAGACCTTGTACACAATCGTATTTACTGGACCGATGGTGGAAATAAAACCATTGAGTACGCAAATTTAGACGGAACTGGGAGAACAAAGTTAATTGGTAAGACAACTTAATGCATCCTTAAACTGAGTGTATCCTTTGGAAAATAAACATCATTCGCCTAATTATTTTATGGTAATTTAAACAGAAAATTTGCCCCATCCTTTTGGTTTGGATTTGTACGGTGACGAAGTATTTTGGACTGATTGGGACACACAGTCAATTCAAGCTGCCAACAAAGATACTGGAGCTAAACGACGAACACTAGGGTCTGGTGTAGCTGGACTTATGGATGTTAGAGTTTTCCACAAGGAAAGAACGAGCGGCTTTAACAGGCAGGTTTCATGACTATAGATTATTTATTGTAATGAGAATTATGTTAATTAATTTTAATGCTATTTTACTTATTAGATGCGGCAAGAATAATGGAGGATGTTCACATTTATGCCTCTTGAAACCAGGAGGACGATCTTGTGCCTGTCCTATCGGTATAAAGCTTAATGTAAGTTACTACACATATTAAATTATAATTTGGAACTAACTTCTAAGAAGATCTCAAGTAGATCTAAACTCGCTGTCAATTTGCAGAAAGATGGTAAAACTTGTGCCGATGGTCCTATCAACTACTTGATTTTTGCACACCGTGTGGATATTCGGGTCATATCATTAGACGTACCGTATCTTATTGACGTAGTATTACCGTTGCCACCACTGAAGAATGCGCTGGGCGTGGATGTCGATCACAGCACAGGTTAGTAATACTCACTATATTAATATAAGTTTAAAAAGACAATTTTACAATGATTCTTGGTATTTAGGTCTAATTTATTGGACTGATACGGGACAAAGGAAAATACAACGCGCAACTAGACTAGGAACACATGTTGAAACTGTAATCGGTAATGGCCTACACACTGCTGATGGTATTGTCATCGATTCAACTGGACGCAAGGTAATATGACTCATATTAACGGAGAGGTAGTGAATTAACAAAATAATAATCTTAAAATGATATTATATTTCCATAGATATATTGGACTGATGGCGGTCGCAACAGTATCGAAGTGGCAGAATTAGATGGTAGGAATAGGAAAGTACTCGTATGGACTGGCCTAGGTATTACTGTTAATGTAATAATTGTAATAGTTAATGCCCATTTCTAGGTTATATAAAACTATGTATTTCTTTTTAGATTCACCTCGAGCCATAGCATTACATTATGAATACGGTTATATGTTTTGGTCAGACTGGGGAACATCAGCTAAAATCGAAAGAGCAGATATGGATGGCAATAATCGGTATACTATTTTTATCTCCTTTTCAACATTTTCTACTTGAGTGATATTTATAATGTTTCTTGTTGATCCAGGCGCGTTATTGTGGACAACAAAATCAAATGGCCTAACGGTCTGGCCATAGATAGAATAGAGGGACGTCTTTATTGGAACGATGCTAAAATTTTAACAATAGAAAGTTCCGACTTTGATGGCCACGATCGGCGCACTGTTTTAAGTAACGTTCCGTACCCTTACGGAATCGTTATCGTTGGTCAGCATATATATTGGACCGATTGGAAGACCAAAGCATTACACAGGGCTGACAAGACTAACGCTTCGGATCCAATAGTTATAAGAAAAAATCTAGAAGGCTTAATGGATATCAGAGCGATTCAGGTAATATTTCAAGGCATATTTTGAAGCAATATCATAGAAACATACGCATTCGTGTAAGCTGTTAATATTGTGTAAAATATTAATAAATTTAGTGAGTTTATATTCCACCAACAATGACGAGTGAGCTTGGCTCTGCTCCTGACATTGTTGAAGTCCATGGGCGACAGTAACCACTCACCATCAGGTGGGCTGTATGCTCGTCTGCCTACAAGGGCAATAAAAAAAGACACTAAATTAATAACGCCGCCAATTTTGAGGCATAAGATTGGCAATAGAGCCATTTCAACAAGTGCTTGAATTGCATTAGACCAATAGCTTCGTGGCTGGAACAGACAGGGTATTATTATCCCCCTATGATGGAACCTATTAGGAAATTATTAGAATTAACTTCATTTCTCAACTTTTATAGAGTGAACGTGTTTTGGAAAATGCATGTGGTACTGACAATGGCGGGTGTTCTCACCTTTGCCTTCGGTCACCACTCGGTTTCACATGTGCGTGTCCAACGGGTATGCCATTCGAAAAAAGCACAACAGACCAAACGCCAAAGAAATGCAAGTCACATCCTGAAGAATTTTTAATATTTGCCACTAGAGGAAGTATTACTTACATTTCTCTTGAAAGTCCCGAGCAGTGGGATGTTACTCTTCCAGTCAAAGAAGTGAAAAATACCATCGCCGTGGATTATCATTGGGACTTAAAAATGATCTTTTATACAGATCTTGATCTGAATGTAATAAGGTCAGTAACATATACTTCTCATCTTTGATCAATTAATTGGAATTCATTAAGAATATATTTATCAAATGCATCATGCGATTTTATTATCAGGTCTATAAATATGACGAACATGAGTGAAAGCAAAACAATTATCTCTCAGAAATTGGAAACTCCAAACGGTTTGGGTGTTGATTGGATTGCAAATAATATCTATTGGACGGATAATGAACATAAGGTATGGTGTCATGGTACACCAAAAGTAATTCACATTTTCATTGGTAATATTTAAATTATTTTACACAATATTTCTACGATTACTCTTTCAAAATGTTTACAGGTTATTGAGGTTGCAAGGTTGGACGGATCATCAAGAAAAGTACTCATAACTGGTCTAACTGAACCAAGAGCTTTAGCATTGTTTCCAGCAAAAGGGTACATGATAGTTACATTGTTATTTTAAATGCATTCTTTTATTGATTGTCGGCTAATAATTCATTCTGTTTCTCGTAGGTATTTATATTGGAGTGATTGGGGTGAACATCCATATATAGAGAGGTCTTACTTAGATGGTAGCCAAAGGCAGATTATCGTGCAAGTTGACTTGGGTTTCCCTAATGGTCTAACAATAGATTACAAAGAAAGAAGACTTTATTGGACTGACGCGCTTAAGGATAGAATTGATACGTCTGATTTAAATGGACAGCATCGAGTCCAACTTGTTCCAGACGCAAAGAACCCTTTTGGAATGACGCAGGTTTGCGCAATTATTATTTAGAAGTACGATTAAATTAACATGGAGTTATGTTTTTGGTATCAGTACTGTGGTAGATATCTAAAACATTAAAGAGCATGTACTTTTTATTTTTTTACAGCTATAATAAAATTCTAAAACCAGATAATCTTATTGTACTAAGATTTTTAAATAGTTTTTGTCTCTTCGCAGTTTAAAGATTATATTTACTGGACGGATTGGTATAAAAAATCTATTATCAGAGCAGATAAAAGAACAGGGAAAAACATAACGTTGATCAGAACCAATCTGGAGATGGCGATGGAGATCAAGGCTGTTTCAGCGGACCGCCAGCATGGATGGAACCCGTGCAAGGAATCTAACGGTGGATGTTCACATTTATGCCTTTTCAGAGGCCATGAATATATTTGCGCCTGCCCAGATGATCCGGATCATGTAGAATGCTCAACTGGTAAAGAATATTTTTAGTAACATTCTCTAAGCTTACATTTAAATATTTGTATAGTGAATATAACGAGCTTTTACATAAGTAAATATAGAAAACATTGCATAGATGCCCTAGGAATAGTAACTTTTTCTGGAGGATACGCTATGGTCCCTGAGAATGTGTATGCACAATTTCATGTTTATCGGTTGAGTGCTTTGAAATCGTAACAAACAAACAAACTTACTTTCGTATGTATAACGTTATAGTATAATAAATACTATCTATAGTATATTAAGATAATATCGTGCCAACACAATTAATTAATTTTACAGTACCAAAATTCCTGATCGAAAATATCCTTCCGGCGCATTACCCGCCTTACTACGACTATTCTGATATAGAGTTTAAGAAAACAGTAAGGCCCCCACCGACCCCTAGTCCGGACTATTTTGGCAGATGCATGATGGCTGGAGGGATAATATTAATTTCTATTTTAGCATTTCTCTTCGTCACGATTTATTGCGGTAAGTAACAAAGATTTTTTAACAAAACAAAAAAAGTATAAACACGTTTTGAATACTTGAATTTTAAAGTTAATTCTGTTCGTAGTGAAAATGCTCCGAAATTATCGAGACACTGAACTGAAAGACGAAGAGTTCAGCAATTCTACCGGTCACATATCTTTTCACAATCCAAATTATAGCTGCGCAACGGGAGGTCCGGGGGGTAACGGCCCTGATCATATTGAGCGTCGACAAAATCGATTTCAAGGAATCTTCAAGTACGACAAACAGCAGGTAATTGTGTATCATTATTTTTAGAACGTTCCTATGTATCATGTCGTTGACGATATTAATTTGTTTCATTATGAACATTATTAAGGAGCGGGTAACGAACGTGTACTACCCTGAGGGAACTAGTTTGCTGCCCACACCTACGCCTCCTCCACCCCAAAGACAAGCCCTCACGACGACAAAGCGACCGCCCACGCATGATGACTTCGAACCGGTGACACTGCACTCCTACGCTTGAAGGAACGAACGACGAACATTTCAAAAGTGTTTTCGTTACAAGAACGCGTGCATGACGTAAATATTTATGCACATTATCGAACTAAGTAAAATAAGTTTATTGTTAACAGAGCTATAATAACATAACATAAAAATTTATTGTGTTGAAATGCATATCGGACAGTTGATAGTCGAATAATTTACGCGTGTTCGTGCAGTGCATGCTTGTAATTGAACCCGGAATGTGAATTTAACGTTGTTATTTCAACAATAATGTACGGTCGTTGACCATAATTAGATTTTAATATTTTAATAATTAAATAAAAAAATCATTGCAGACTCAAATAAAATCGTCAATTTTGGATGATGGATTGAAAATTTTGTAAAGTCTATATCTATCTAATACGCATTTGCTTTAATATTTTCCTAAGTAATTTTTTTTTATTGTAACATCAAGGCGTAGTTCTGTTATGGGCTGTGGCCTCAATACATCCATACTAATATTTATATATATTGTAAATATTTTCTGTAAATTGTTTTTATTATGAAAATTAAATAATAATCCGTCAGTTAAAAAAAAGTATCTCCGTACATAAACAATATAATTAATATAGATTATAATGTTTCCCTAAAGATAAATAAAAAAATGTTATAGTCTATAGACGTCTCATCTAGTCATAGGATGATGATCAGTGTTATTTGTAAATAAATATATGTATCTACTTGTATTAAATAAATTGTGAATGGAATTTCACTTCAACTAATATTTTCGTAAAACATAGTTTGGATAGTTGTTATGGCTGTTGTTTGGCGGGAAACACAGTTCCCTGCCAGGCTAAATTGCGATGCGTACCTGTGAACCTTAATTTGTTGGATTAGTTTCTAGAACTAAAAACTCTAAATCCTAAATTATTATGTGAACTTCATTACAATATTTTTTATGATTAAAAAATTTAATGAATAAAATTTAGTGAAGATACATTATATCATACTTAACATAAATTTCAGTCTGACTATTTATGTGTTGTATTCTGCTAGTGGCTAAATACCAGATGGACCATGATTTCGGTATGGATATAATGAAAATTATAAAAAAAATTAAAACCATAAAAAATAAAGGTCGCGTCAGAACTGTATCAATAAAATAAACTAATATAAACGAAGTTTATTTTGATCCAAAATATCCAATACACTTGCCTGATGTACAATAGCACACTTTTATTTGAAATAAAATAGTTAATCTGTTGAAGGCATACCGAGCGTAATAAAATTCACATTAATAATGTAGGACTTCGTTCATAATTCGAAGGGTACTAATATATTTGTATACGGTATGTAATATTACTTTATTGGTAAACACGAAGAAACTGGCTGGTATCAATGTTTATTGACTGTCGCTCAAAATTCATTAGAATCTCTTTGGTGAATAAATTTCGTACGTGCTAAAAATACCGTTTAAATCGACTAAAATTTACCAATTCAATTGTAATTTATTTCAATTCAGTTCAATTCAATTCAAGCTAGTTCAGATCCTACTATTGCAGGACCTGAATTGGCTGTGTTACAAATGCAGACTAAGCTCGACAAATAGCTACAGTAAGCCGTTGTGGCCTCAGAAAAAAGATACTTGAGGCCGTCGGCACAATTTTTCATATTCGTGGTTCTACTATATTGCAATTTATTTAAAACATAATAAATTTTGATGCAAAACCGGCCTATCCCTAGTTTCGCCCATAGATAACAGATGGCTTTGTCAACATTATTTTTGCGCATTTTGTTTTTGCCTATGAGGCAGTGTAAAAATAAATTCAGACCACATTGTTACCTTACTTACTATAGTAAGCTCAGGTAAGCTTAGGCATTTTTGCGCTGACGGCCTCAATTATATCGATGCCATCGTTCATATCGCGCAGGCAGATTGTTTTTGTAATGAAATACATACTTACCACATTTCCACGAATAACTTCACGATGAAGACACAATATCGTGTAATAAACATCATTACTGCAAAAAAAAAAAAAAAATTTTTTATTGCTTAGATGGGTGGACGAGCTCACAGCCCACCTGATGTTAAGTGGTTACTGGAACCTATAGACATCTACAACGTAAATGCGGCACCCACCTCGAGATATAAGTTCTAAGGTCTCAGTATAGTTACAACGGCTACCCCACCCTTCGAACCGAAAAGCATTACTGCTTCACGGCGGAAATAGGCGGGGTGGTGGTACCTACCCGTGTGGACTCCCAAGAGGTCCTACCACCAGTAAAAAAATATTTGCGTAATTACTATTGATTCAAGGAGGGTGGCCGTATTCACGTTCTGAGTTATATGGGCTCCGGTAACCAGTTAACATCGAGTGGACCGTCAGCTCGTTCGCCGTTAAAGCAATAAAATAAAATAAAAACTACACTAGCACAAACTCTCAACTCTCTTTGAAGTCGATATCTTCTCTGGACTAAATTAATTGAAATTGTATTCGTTATGTTTGTAAGAAAGGAATGCAAATAGAATCCCACAATAAAGTTGTAGTACACAAGACGCTTACCGTTTCACCAAATATATTAGTACCCTATAATTGTATTAATGTTATTTCGTATAATTTTAGAATGATATATGATGTACTGTGTGGATGCAACAATATATATGTACTGCTGATAAGTTTTGTGTTGAAAATATAAACTCGCGACCTTTTCCGCGGCTCACGGAAAAGGTGCTGAGACGTCCGAATAATTTGGTCTAAATTTTATCAATACAATTCAATTCCATTTCATATTTCTGTGCCTACGACGAATGAATCGTGTTTTACCTAGTTTTTGTTTTAAGTTTTAAGTTTCGATAATTTTCCGTGTTTGGAGGTATTATTTTATTTTCATCTAAATGGATAGTGATTTTATTTATGAACCAGTATCTATTTTATCTTATCACAAAAATTATAAAGAAATGAATGTAAAACTTTAATACAATTATTAATTATAATTTTACACTCTGGTCGGTTCTTACAAATAGATACAATGTCCATTTTAGAATATTATTTATAACAAGCAAATTTTTGTGAATGACAACTTAGTTATTTTGTAAAAATAACAAAATTTCCTATGTTTTACAAGATTTTACCAAAACGAGTTACAACAGTGCGGTGAACAATTTTGATGTTGTCGTCTTAAAAACAAGTTAAACCAAACTTTACTAAGTTTTCGCGAATAACGTACATATTAAGGAATTGATTTACGGTTTTATCACGTTTGTTGGGGAGATTCTGTAGTTGTTAAGTTTACTATAGCGAGGTGAGATCACGGCCCATATGATGCGAAGCTGTTGAAAGAGTGCACATTGTTTCTCCACGTCATGGATGTCACTGTATGACATTAAATCGAAGTCGCACTGGAATAATAGCTACCGTTACACATGGGAACAAATTACTGGTTCGTGGTAGAAACAGGCATGATGGTAATACTAACACGGGTGTGCTTATAAAACTCCCTATTATCAGTAAACAGTTTAGAAGAAGAAGAAAAAGTTTCGAATCCCTAGAATTAAATAATAAGTACAATTAGCTTTTGAAAACAAATAAATCAATGAATACGAATAAATAATTGAGGACAAATCACGCACGGTTATCTAGAATCTTTCTGAACTTAGAGAACCAGAGACTGATGCACTCATATTTATATTTAATTATATGAATTTTTGATACAAAAATAAACATGACATTCGAAAAAAAAAGGTCTTAGAAGTGACAGAACCTAATATCAATAATATAATCATTAGTTTAATACATATTTGTAAAATTTAGGACTCGGTAAAATTATTGAGACCTCCTAATCCTAGCCTTGGGCCATTGAATGTGGATGATTATTAAAATAAGAACGTATTCTGGGCAATACTTAATTACCTGCTACTTTCTTGCGCAAACATGATCTTAAAAAATTAAAACAGTATAATAGGCGTGGGAAAGTTGAGAAAGGTATTTTACTACATACATTTAACTAAACGCAGAGACAAAACAGCAGAGTACCATTTTCTATTCTGTCTGTTATCGGATTTTATTTTCCTTTTTCGTTTAGTAACTGTTGTTGAGCATTAGTGCTGTAATTTTTTTAATAGTTCTGTTTTCAAACGTGTTCGCTACATATGTTTTTAATTATTGTGTAGTGAACAATGCCAAACCTTCATCAATAATTTCGATCACGTCTTTCTGTAGAACTTGCCTTCGTTTTCGTGAACCTCTCTCTACGACAATTGGGTCTAATACTTGTAATAGCTTGTAGAGAAAAAAAAAGGATTTAGATAATTTTTTTGGAAATTTTATGTTCAAAAGTTTTGATACAATTCCTGAAGTGATTTTAGAACGTTTCGCTTTTATATGTATTTAGCAGTTTAACGCCTTCTAGCTGTTCATTTCTTTATCACATCAATATCGATTTATACCTATTACCATTTCGAAAATATCAAAAGACATATTAAATAAAAAAAGTAATTCTCAGAAAATACTGTTTGGGTTCCTCCAAGAGACATCCTGGACATTCAAGTGACATGCTAGATTTGGGATGTCCCCTCAAAAAGGACACCCGAGTGCAAAGGGCTATTTAAATCAGAATATTTTAAGCGAGTTAAAACCGTAAGTCTTCTTTTTGGATTTCGACGGAATAAAGACAAGATATTTCAACCTTACGAATAGTGTGACAGGGTGATTTAAGTCTAAGGTAGTTTAGGAAAGAATACAGTTATTGTTCTATGATTTCGGCCACGGCCTGTATTTTTATACTTCAGAACTCACAAAAAAATCATTTGCTATCGCTGAAATTGTAGTTACATTGTATTATTATACAAATTATATGTTCATTTATAAATTTATAGTAAGTTTTAATGAAACGAATAGCTTAACCAACGAAAGAAAAGCTATGAACTCTACAGACCGCGAAACCAAATTTAATTGTNTGTTCTATGATTTCGGCCACGGCCTGTATTTTTATACTTCAGAACTCACAAAAAAATCATTTGCTATCGCTGAAATTGTAGTTACATTGTATTATTATACAAATTATATGTTCATTTATAAATTTATAGTAAGTTTTAATGAAACGAATAGCTTAACCAACGAAAGAAAAGCTATGAACTCTACAGACCGCGAAACCAAATTTAATTGTTAATGTTTATATTACTGGTGGTAGATCGCAATGAAAGCCCACACGGGCAAATGCCACCGTCCTACCCATTTCCACCACAAACAGTCAGGTTCGGTTTAAAGGAAGGCAGTTTCACCATGAAACTGATATTTCAACCTCATGTCCCAAACAGTACCGCTGTTTTGTATATATGTAGGTTTCGGTAACCATTTACCAGGTGGGTCGTGGGCTTATTAACTAACTAGTGCAATTCACGGGTTTAAATACTTTTATAAGTACTACAAACCTCATGGATTGCCCGCAGGGCAGCTTGTGGCGAGCTGTTGGTGAGTGGCGACACCACGGACCTGAATGCTCTTCAGAACTTTTTTGAAACGAAAAGTTCTGTTTGAGTCGCTAGAGCTTAACTGCTCGGAGGTGAAGTAGAATAGTGAATGCAGTAGTTTCGAACAAAACAGCGTCACTATACTACCACACCTTTAGCTATCCACGTTGACATCCCCTTCTAGTCTATTTTGACTATGACTAGGAGGGGAATTCAATGAGAGGTGATATAGCGAGTCACCGTCTGCCAAAATAGCCCATTGGCAGATGTCTATAGCCTAAACTCAATAGCCCAGAGAGACTACAACGTGTCGACCATCTACACGTGCCACACTTTCTATATTTATTTAATTACCTGGCGCTTTTGTGTTTCAGAATTTTCTTGTAAATAAACAGCTTCATTTAAAGGAAGTGTATCATTTCCTTGATTTGGAGCCGGTTATGCGAGTTCGAACAAGCATGGTTCAATCCGTGCTTGGGCGTGACGCGCATAGCTCGGACGCTGTCGCAGTAAGTGCACGGGTTCACCTCTCCCGCTGCTCCGAAAATGCATTACTACTTACGCGATATCGTTCCTATCCTCTTCTCGGGCTATCCACTTGCTTTTGCAATGACGAAAGCAGGTGGATTTATATTAGCGGCCTGTAAGTTTAAGATTTTAGTATTACAATTACATTTATAGTAAACATGTTTTAAATTAAATTTAAATCATGTTCTGTGTGCGGATTCCACAGCTCTTATGATGAAAAATACCTTAAAAATTTAAAAAATCGAATATTTTGTCTCAATTTTAAATATGTTTTAATTTATTTCGGTGTTGTTTTTTAAACATAGTAAATGCTTGTATAAGCTTGATTTGCTTGTACATCGGAGACTTAGTTGCGGAGATCAAAGCAGGGGTGCGCAGGCCAGTTTTCATGGTCGGTTCTTTCTGTTGATTGAGGCAATTGAGTCCGCGAAGTACTTTATAAGGATCAATCTCATCTAGTATTTATTGTTCTTGGGTTCTATTCGTTTGTAATTACATTATAATTTTTAAACGGTTTCAGAGATAGCAAATGTTTAAATAAACTTGCTTTGCTTGTATATCGGGGACTTAGTTGCGGAGATCAAAGCAGGGGTTCGCAGGCCAGTTTTCATGGTCGGTTCTTTCTGTTGATTGACGCTATTGAGTCCCCGAAGTACTTTATGAAGATCAATCTCATCTAGTATTTATTGTTCTTGGGTTCTATTCGTTTGTAATTACATTATAATTTTAAACATAGTTTCAGAGATAGCAAATGTTTAAATAAACCTGCTTTGCTTGTACATCGGGGACTTAGTTGCGGAGATCAAAGCAGGGGTTCGCAGGCCAGTTTTCATGGTCGGTTCTTTCTGTTGATTGACACGATTGAGTCCGCGAAGTACTTTATGAAGATCAATCTCACTCTGTGTTTTGTTATTCTTGGGTTCCATTTGTTTGTAATTACATTATAATTTTTAAACGGTTTCAGAGATAGCAAATGTTTAAATAAACTTGCTTTGCTTGTATATCGGGGACTTAGTTGCGGAGATCAAAGCAGGGGTTCGCAGGCCAGTTTTCATGGTCGGTTCTTTCTGTAGATTAACGCGATCGAGTCCGCGAAGTACTTTATGAAGATCAGTCTCGTCGAGTATTTTCTTATTCTTGGATTATATTCATTTGTAATTACATAATAATTTGTTAAGATCTAATAAAACATACACCTTAAACGCGACAATGAGAACGCACAATGCGCATTTTAGTTTTTATAATTATTTACTTTTATAGAGTGGGTGTGTGCCAAAATTCTCAAATATTATTATGTATTTTTCACTACTTTTTTCTTGTATTTTTTACGTTAGTGTACAGTTTTTACACCTCTTGGAATGCCTCCAACGTAAGAGGTGTGGAATCTGTTGAAAACTCAATTGAAACGAAAATAATAAAAAAAAACAATAATACCCAACTGGTGTTTCATTTACCAGGTACAAATTCGTTCAAAAAAAAAAAAGGCGTTCGATATGAAAAAAGAGAACACATTACAATATAACATATAATCTTTATTTTCTTTCGAAATACATATTAGGAATTTCATTTTTAACCATCGTACATATTTGAAGTACAAATATTTAACACTTAATACTTATAATATAATACACAGGTCCACGATATAAGTTAGTTACGTAATAGTTCGTCATCTTTTTATACGTTATACAGGTTTAGAAAAGGCTTCTTATACTAATGGTTATTTAAGGGTTATTTGCAGTAAGTATTCATATTAATAAATATCGAGTACAGTACGTTCTTCGGTTTTCTCGAACCGTAAATATAATTCGTCTTTTCGCATTAAAAGTTTATAATTTGCAAAAAAATTCGAAATTCAGTTAATATGCGGAATCATTTGGTATCACCAGTATTTTTCTCATAAATACTGTCAAAAGAGCGTAGTTTAGTTTTAGTTTTTTTTTTTATAGTTTACCTATATTTTGACTACTATTAACAAAATTAATACATAATTTTAACTTACTTTAAAAGACAGATAATGTAACTGGTAAAAAACTAAAAAATAAATGTTGCAAAGATGATCAATATTAAAAATACCATATGTTAAACCTTTAAAACACTCCTGTAAAAATTAGTAAGTTTTGAGATTATACAGTTTTAATGCGAGAAAACGAATTAAGACTGCCTTTATAGTTTAGATTTCGAGTTTCTTTAATTGTCATCATGTTATTTCAGATTTTTCGAATATGTTACGGTTACCGTGGTCAAAGTCGACCACGTGGTCGGAAATAAAGTAATGACAGCAAAATAGGCGGGATTAAGCCCCAAAAGTGGTTTTAATTGAACATTGTATATACATTAGATAGAATTAGGCGGATGTGCTTTTGTACACATTATGCAGAGGCTTTTAATAATGTAGATTTATCGAAAAAGGATTTTATTCCAACTAAGGAAAACCGCACCGCAGCTTTCCCAACAAAGATATCGTCTAATATCAACAAGCATACAGCCTATACATCAACGCCTAACATCTATAAAACTATCTCATATAAACATTACAGACGTCTCTAATATTTGAGGTAAGATATTTTGATCCGTGACCCATGAAAACGGTCCGTAAAAAAACAGTAGAAAAATGTTTGAAATTCGTATCGAAGCCAAGAGCTGACCTCGTGTTTGACTTCTTACTAAACAGCCGCGTCTTACGATCCATACTTATTAAAATCTACAATGCGAAAATGAAGGTAATTCAATAAAATATATAGTAAGAAAACAAATTAATGAATTGAATAATCTGTTATGGTAAAAGCTAATAGTTTTGGTCTTAAGAGAATTTCACTTTTAATACTTAAGTAATTTTAATGATTTATTCGTAAACGTGATCTTGTCCCCTTCGAATGAGGGCGATGTGTCAATTGTTTTTGTGAAGGCTACTCAACACGCTGTAAAACTGTAGGCAAATTTCTCCTTTATTGCAAATCAATAACGCGTTCTCAGAATCGGGCCGTACAACACATATACCTTAATAAATCTTAGCAACAATAAAAATAAATTAAACAATTTTAAGAATTAACTTATCTAACTAACTAAAATTTCACTAGATTATATTTTCAATGTAGTATCTTTATATATTAATAATATAGGGTATATTATACACGTATATCGTACGTACGTGTGTATACTCGGTAAAAACTCATAAAAATTTCAAATTTTTTTATGAGTCAGGATACTAATAACTAAATATTTTTGTTTAGTGTAACGTGCGTTTGATTTTCATTTAATCACCAAAAAGAAATGAATTATTAATAAGATTCGTGCAATAAAGTCTATCAATACAAATTAATGGTTGATTAAATTTTAGAATTAAATTAAGCTTTATCACTTCTGTGAGATTACTAGAATAATTTAAAAATATTCGGTAGGCTAATGAAATGGCTATAATAACGAACACCTACACGAGCAGCGAAATTAATTATCTCACTTGATACTTTAATATACTACGTTTATTCTATTTTTAAAAATTAAAACGTTGTTGTTATTCCTAGCAATTTTTTTTACTGCCTTCAGTATTTTTTTGTAAACATAGATTACTACTATAGTACATAATACTAGGACTATAGTACTAGCATTATCACTATAGTCTATAGCAGTGATTCTCAAGCTATTTTTTTTGTTGCGGCACATATTTAACGATTTCAAAATTTGGCGGCACACAAAAAAAGAAGATAAAAATATTTACTTATTACAACACAGTGGATAAATAGTTTATCAAAAAATTTTAATGTACGAAATAAACTAAAATATACTATACATTTTTTTTTGTGGATTTAAATATATTTTCATGTTTAAAATATTTTTCTTTTAAAATGATATAATTTAATAATATTAACATTATTATATATTCGCAAAATTTGGCGGCACACAAAAGTGCCGCGGAACAGTGGTTGAGAATCACTGGTCTATAGTATTACCGCTTTTATTAAAACAGGATTGGCGTGCACTAGACGCAGACGTACAGTATGAATTAACGAATGTTACGAAGTTAGCCGCTTATTAGCGCAAATTTTGATAGTACGAAGTTGGCTGCTAATGCCATTTCTGGTTTAATTTTGCCCTGGCAGTAAAGTAATGTAAATTCAATCGCGAATTAAACCCGGTTACACATATCTTTCTTACAAACCGTCTTTGGCACGCAAGCTAAGTACGATAATAATATAAGTCCCTTAATTCTACGAGCCGATAGCTTTACATTTAATACACTACAAAAACGAGATCAACAACTTGCCAAGATGCAGTTAAATAATAATTTTTTATATTAAATATACCATTACGTTAGCTTTATATAATCGAGACATTTTCTTTATGCGCGTGATAAATACGTTTAAAGCTTATGATTCGTGTAAATATTCTAAAGACGTTCTCGAAGGAAGTGTATAAATATATTAAAATGGAATGCCTCTCTTCTAGAGATTCAGTTGTTATATCACTGCAAGTCAAACTTACACAAATTCGATTAATACAAAAGTGACAAATGTTCATCGTAATTTATATATTATGTAAACACCAAGTAATAAACTATATATATATGTATGTAGTCACGTTTGCCTTTCAAGCGTCGATATATATATATTTTATTGCTTAGTTAGATGTTAGATGAACGAGTTCACGGTCCAATTGTTGTTTAGTGGTTACCGGAGCCCACAGGCATCTATCGATCATCCTGAGGCAAGAGTTCTAAGTCTCAGTTTTAAAGGCGATATTTTGTAATGTAAGTTTGTGACTTGAAAGTTTAACTACTAACATATATATATATATAGGATTGCTACAAACAAGCTAATTTACCTTAGAGCGTATGGAAGACGAATAAAAAAAACGTACCATACGAAAATATTAAAAAATTATAGTCACCGTACATGTTAAAGGGAATATAAGTTAATATTAAAATCCAGTTCTCATAAAAAAAATTATAATAAGTAGTAATCACTAGGAACGAAGTTGTTAAAAATACGATTTTCAATAAAACTTAATTAATATTATTTAATTATCATACTAAAGTACGCAACGTGGAAAGTAAATTAGAATATCTATAGTTTTGATATATCGGTCACAAGAATTTTTCTTTTTCTAAAACGGTCACAGTGCAAGTGATTTCTTATATCAAAAAAATAATATCCATGTATTCATTAAAAATTACGTTTTCTTTTCTTTTTTTATTGCCTTTGTAGGCAGACGGGCATACGGCCCACCTGATGGTGAGTGGTTACCGTCGCCCATGGACTTCAGCAATGCCAGGGGCAGAGCCAAGCCGCTGCCTACCACGCTGTATACCACATTATAGCACTAGTATGATAACACGGGGAATCAAATTAAAACATACACTTTTTTCAAATGTCCATCACAGTTAAAAATATGCTCCACTTTTTTATTTGACACATTTGCCACTTTTATAACAGACTTTTAGGTACATACGTGTTTCATAAATCTATTGTCATGGTTTCTTACCTATAAATAGTATGGTATTAGTTATAGTAACGCTTGAGCTCAGGAAATACTTCTATCAATACCAGTTCGAACAATTCCTGCAAAATAAACACAAAAAATAACATTTTTGGTTACAATTTAATTATTCTCTATACATTACTACCATCTAATAGGAATAACTTTATTTATTTATATATATTAGAATAACTTTTTATCACGTAGGAAATTGTCCAAATTACGAAAAAAATGGTAGTCCGTTGGAGCAAGGGCTGGGCGAATACGGAGGGTGACGAATGGTTTCTAATTGCAGTTCCTGTAGAGTTAAAACGGTTTCTCGTGCTGTATGAGGTCTCGCGTTATCATGGAGCAATAATGGTTGAAGATCGATTCATGAGTCGGGCTGTTTCAACATAACAAATATATGGCAACAAACACGTGGTTTAGTATTTTGGTACATTAAAAAGATCTAGGAAATATCTGTATATTTTTTCTTCATTTTGCCAAACAACAGCAAACACATTTTAAGTTAATTCCGAAACAGGTTTTGACATAATGTCGAACCAAAGTTATCTATACGCAATATGAAACTGGTGATGATAAGGACTCGACGAGCGAATTAACCCAGACACAGCCCACTGAGCTTCTCGCCGGATCTTCTCAGTGGGTCGCGTTTCCGATCCGGTGGTATATTCCAAGAAGCACTGCTCTTGCTAGGGCCAGTATTAGCAACACTTCCGGTTTGAGCCCCGTGAGCTCACCTACATGTTAGGGCGAAGCTGAAATAGCCTCTGAAGGCTATCAGCATAGGTAGGAAAGAAAAGTGATGATAAGTAAATCGGCAAAAAATAGTTTGTGGTAGTATGTTAGATTAGATTGCTTATGTTAGATTGCAAACGTTTTCTATCTATGTCTCAAGACGGAAGGCGTTTACCTTGTAGAGTATACGGTATAAACGTTTGAGACAAAATACGCAGCGAGCGAATCTGTAGAAAAAGAAATGTAGGTATTGTTATAATATACCTATACTGTGACAATGGTAGTTTAAACAATATTTTTTTTCAAACCACTCAATTCCTTTGAATTATCGTACCACTAAAATTAATACCAAATTTGCTCGTCGCAGTTTATGGTTTTTATTACATTTTACTGCCGGACGAGTTGTTATGTTAAACGGCCATCTCATTCTTCAAACACGAACGGTTTACTTCACGGTGAAACTGGGCAGGACGGTGATAAATTTCCGTCCTGGCTCAAAATACGGAGTGTATGAGTACGTAGGCAAATAATATTCAATTATCTCAAAGAAGCAAGTTGAGCATATGCGTGGCACGCTTGTCTGCACATGTCTCTTAAAACTGATCAATTTATGTACGGTGACAGTTTTAGCGAGCACGAAACGATTTTAGCTTCGGCCGACACGGAAATTTATTTTAGAACGATCGTGTGATATTTGTGCGATACTGAATTTTTCAATGCAGGGTTGTCAAACGTTCGATTTTTACGTTTTTTTTTTCTGTAACCCAAAAGCATCAAGTAGGTATGTAAAAATATCAGTAACAATCCGTATGGTACAGAGGTGGTGTTTGTTTGTTCTTGAAAATGAAAAACAAAAGTGATACTGGTGATTTATAATAACATTTTTTTTCAGTTGCTTTTGTTATACGAATGTCACGAAATAATGTTATAAATTAAAAAATTCGCGAGTGTAGATAAGCTTAATAAATTATTAATGTGTGATTTATTGTTCGCGTTGTTGTAGTATACGTTGCTTCGAGAAAGATTTCATTCCATTCTTTGTAGTAAAGGAAACATTTTTCCTTCAAAAGTAGATTGAGTATCGCGTCCCCCAATTCTATCAACATCTGGCAGCAGCATACTAAATGTTGACCACAGTTATTGCCTTATTGGCATAGAATATACCACACTTAACCTACTTACTGTAAGCAAGTTATTTTATTAATACGAGAGGTCCCGCAGTAGTCGAAATTCGACTATAATTAATTGGAATTGTAAGTTTGTACACTATTATTATTGTATTTTATACTTCTATAGTCACGAATTTCGCCAAGACTACACTATAAAAAATATTAACAAAGACTAACAATATTTAATCTATTCTCAATCTGACAACAGAGGTCAAGAACAAAAGTTTGACAATAAATAGTATGCATGCGTGTGTGCGTCAAATACATGGTATGTAGTGTGTGTAATGTTTTCTTTATTGATTTAATGTATCTTTTATGCATTATTTTAAAAAAATATTAGCATTGTGCACTTCTTCTCTATATTCTCTTTAAGTGTGGAAAATTTCATACTCCTCCGTCCGCGCAATTTTCGTAAAAAGGGATACAAAGTTTTTGCTTCATGTATTAATATATAGATATCGCGGACTCTTGTCATTGCAACGAGACAAAATTTTCATTTTTTAAGATAATTCCTCTTATATTTTTAGGCACAAACAAATACAAGTCTAGTATTACTGGGTTTTTTCTTTAAAGAAAACCAATGAATATTTTGTTGAATTAAGGTAAGACAGAACTTTGTTTAAATAATAATCTCAATATGCATGCACAGATTAAACAAAACTGTTTTATAATGAACATTTTTGCGCACACGTCGGTCCATTTGGTATCAAAAGGTTACCCGAGTCTTAATATCGCATCGGTTAAACGAAATACAGAGAACACTGGCTAATGTGACTAGATCTGTTTTATTTCCGTCAAAAAACGAATGACATCCTTAACGCATTGCGTTTGGACATTCAAAATCTTTAAGCCGTGGGCGGGTCGAGAGGACGCCACATCGTATAGTTGCGGTTTGTACTCTTGTAATGCTGCAGTTAAACAATATTCTTCAAAAAATTTATTGAAACTAATAATAATAGTGAAAGCCTCAAATGGTGTGAACAGTGATATTAATTTGTAGTCATATTTATAATGCCTATATTATTCAGTGTGATAGCGTGTGATAAACGAGTCGTTTCGAAATTCGCAACCTGCGATGGTAACTTCGTGGAGATATCCGAACGAATGGTCTCAAAAATACCGGTACATGATCACAAGATGACGTACCTTCACGGAAAATATTTGATTCACTATGTTGTTCACAAGAAAAATATATTTCTTTGTATTACAGAAAAGGTAAGTTACGATTTCGTTTGAATAGGTCTTCATACAAGTTAAAAAAAATACATGAAAAAATAGAATATAAATATTGTTCTGAAAGTTCATTGATAATGATTGAATTGTCGTCCAATACATTCGAATTGCCCAAAACACGTCATTATGGATCCTCCCGAACCATTAACGGTACCTTTAGGTACCTCAAGCACCGGTCACCGTCCTCGCCGAACCCGTCGCTTGCGACGAAGGGCTCGACGAGTAAATTAACCCACAGACGCAGCCCACTGAGTTTCTCGCCGGATCTTCTCAGTGGGTCGCGTTTCTGATCCGGTGGTAGATTCTACGAAGCACTGCTCTTGCTAGGGCCAGTGTTAGCAACACTCCCGGTTGAGCCCCGTGAGCTCACTTAATTAATCTAGAATAACCTATCGAGATTACTAGAATAGGTAGAAAAAAAACGAATAATATAAAACGAAAATATCTCATTTTTATTGTGACGGTGTCTAAAACTTGTGTATTTTTTATTTCGTTCTCGTCAATATATTTCTTAAATATATTAGTTATTCGATCTGGCGAACTTATTGTTGTCTCATATATCTTCTGAACACATAGCACCGAGAAAATTTGGACGAACGATTGCCACTTATTAAATAGGTTGAATATTGAAACTAAACATATACGTCAGTTGAAAATTGAAGAAACTTTATTTACATATTTCTGTCTGTGCAAGATTGTGTAAAGATTTTCTGTTAAATATGAGAGAAGCACACGTCGTTATTCGCATAAAGTTCCCTTATGTTAGCTTAAGTCAGAATTATGTAAATATTGTTTCTATAGTCTTCAAATCAAATGTATTTTCTTAACAGACCTGTCAGAGATCAAGGGCATTTTTATTCTTAAATCAAATCCAGAGACGATTTACTGAATACGTAAAAAATTTCGAACATATACTGGCAGAGGAAATGTACCGATACAATGAAGATTACAGTACTATAGTTATAAGAAATGGCGAACTGGATGAATTGAACAGGATCAGCGTTGAAAGCAGTGGTGAGTTTTTTTTATACATTTTTTATTAAACAGCTTAGTAAATATGTAGGACGGTTGAGAACGGAACGTATGGAAAGAGCGTGGAACGGAGTGTTAAGGTGTGAGTGAGAGAAATAGAGAGAAATAATAATAAAAAAGCAAGACCGCGAGGTCGATGAAGCGAGCGATGTGTAAAAAAGGTGTCAATAATTTTTTTGTTATTTATTAAATAGTTTGGTAAACATGTAGGATGATTGAGAACGGAACGTATGGAAAGAGCGTGGAACGGAGTGTTAAGGTGTGAGTGAGAGAAATTTGTAAGAAAGAGAGAAATAATAATAAAACAAAAGGGCAACATGGCGAGGACGATGAAAGCAGCGATGTCTAAAAAATGTGTCTATAATTCTTTTATATTAACAATAGAATTCCAATTATACGTATGCATGTTTGTATGTCTTCATTATAATGTGATTTGCATCGATTTTAAGACGTACCGACCACTAATCAGAAAGTTTGTACACGAATGAAGGACCGTTAGCTAAACAATAATTTTAATTGCTCTCATCGCTCTGAAATCCTGACCGGTATCCAAAAAAAAGATAAAATTATTTGTTAGTACGGTTTGTAATTGAACGTACGGGTTCTTAAACTACATTTAATTTTAAATTAGTTTTTTTTTTTCTTTTCAGAAACAATTCTTGGCGAGAAAATGCTTTTAGTTGATAACATCGATAGTTTATCGTACAGTGTAAGTTTACATAAGACCTTAAGCCTACAAAATATATTCATTAGCTATTCCTCTCATAAACATCAATAAAGGAAATGCCAATGTCTCGAGACATGATTTCTAACTCTCAGTTCTATAGTATAACAAGGACCACCCTTCAAACGGGGATCCTTACTGCTCCGCGGGGAAAATAGGCGGGTGGTGCATGTAATTTTAATTTTATTTAGTTTTACTCGTTATAAATGTCTCTGTCGGATGAATGAATGCGGCGGAAAAAAAGACTATCAGTTTCAAAATTTTAAATGGAAAATAAATTCACAAAATACCTATTAAATATGTATAAACAAAATCTATTACCAAATCAAGTTTTTTATTTTTTTATTGCTTAGATGGGTGGACGAGCTCACAGCCCACCTGATTTTAAGTGGTTACTAGAGCCCATAGACATCTACAACTTAAATGCGCCACCCACCTTAAGATATATAAGTTCTAAGGTCTCAAGTATAGTTACAACGGCTGCCCCACCCTTTATACCGAAACGCATTACTGCTTCACGGCAGAACTAGGCAGTATGGTGGTACCTACCCGTGCGGACTCTCAAGAGGGCCTACCACCAGTAAAGTGAATCGATCAACTATGGCATGCGAGTTTATTTAAGCGACAGCACACAAGTTTATTGTAATATTGTATTATAAATAACACATACTATTTTGTTACAGACGATTTCGTACGTGGGTAGAGCTCCAGAACAAATATCTATATCTGTACAAGATAAAAAACGTTTCAATTTTATTTTCATAGGAATATTTATGATTATTGTGGGATCTTCTGTTTACGTTTTCGGGCCGATATCTTGTGTCACGGCCACAGTAATTATAGTATTTACATTCATTAGATCTCTATACGTATCCAAAAATAAAACTCATTCGAATTAAGTAGAAATTGACGACATTAAGATAATTTACTTTTGCGGTCTCATTGAGTTGTTTTCGTTCCGAAACGTATGCTTGAATTTATTTAGTAAAATTAAATAAATATTCTTCTATATAACATTCAATTATGAACTTCGTATGTAATTTCGTTTTGATTCCTTTTTACAAATAGATATTTACGTCAATAAGCGGCAGGGTGTATTTTTAAAGTTGTTTTTGTAAATAAAATATGTCATATGTTTTGTGTCATGTTTCATAATTTCATATTCTGTAACGGTTACACGTTATACAGGGTGGCCCATAAGTCCTTTGATATGAAAAAAAATTTATTAAAATAAAACTAATTACATTATGAATTAAATTTTTATTTACATAAAAAGCTTAAAAAACGGGAATTATTTTTTGAAAATAACATCTCCTAAATGTAATCCGTTGCGATCACGGCACTCTTGCAAACGACGTCTAAAATTGTCGATGACTGCGCNTGTAGTTTCGTTTGTCAAGAGATTCTATTTTTCTTCGGAAAGTGTTTTTTTTACTGTACTACAGCTACCCTTCCCATCAAACCGAAACGCTTCACGACAGAAATAGCCAAGGTAGTGGTACCTACCCGTGCTGACTCACAAGAGGTCCTACCACCAGTAATTACGCAAATTATAAAATAAATAAAAAATAAAATTCATTTAATTCAGACCCTCTTAAGTCCATATGTTGTAAGTTGAATAATACTTAGAACTATGTTAGTAAAATTAAAATTAAAATTAAAATTAGCAATTAAAACATTTAAACATTTAATTCATAAATCTGCGCTGCTTTGAGGCACCTGGTATATGGGTATGTATATGAACCCAGTGTCTCAAAACAGCACATTCGGGTTTATTACCTATAACCATATTATAATTATGCGGGTTTCGTTTTTACTACACGATGTTATTCCTTCACCGTGAAAGTTTGTTAAGTAAGTATTTCATTAGAAAAATTGGTACTTTGGTACGCCTATTTCCGCCGTGAAGCAGTAATGCGTTTCGGTTCGAAGGGTGGGGTAGCCGTTGTAACTATACTGAGATCTTAGAACTTATATCTCGAGGTGGGTGGCGCATTTACGTTGTAGATTTCTATGGGCTCCAGTAACCACTTAACACCAGGTGGGCTGTGAGCTCGTCCATTCATCTAAGCAATATAAAAAAAAAACTTGCCAGCGGGATTCGAACACCGATGTATTATCGCTAGATACCAATGTACCGGACGTCTTATCCATTAGGCCACGACGACTTCAAATGTCAATAATAATAGAAAGAAGAGAATATGTAATACATAGAGTGATCTATATTTTGAGATGTCAGTGATTATGGAATTTAGGTTACTGGATGAACACATGAATTATTTTGTTGACGTCATTTCGTTTATGGTAGTGTACAGAGCGAGTAAAGCTGCTTTCACACTACGCTATACTATAATACCATCTAGTAAAGCAGCCTATACTTAGCCAATAATATAAATGTACAGTACAGTGTGAACAATGTATGGTGTGTAATATTGGTGTGCTATGAGCTATATATGAAATGCTATTATATTGTAGCGTAGTCTGAAAGCGGCTTAACTGAAAAAAACAGTATGTGCCGCTGCTCGCGCTCTCCAAAACGTCGTTTCTGGTAGTGTTGCAATTTTTTTTTTTATTATTTCCTTTGTATACAGACGAGCATACGGCCCACCTGATGGTAAGTGGTCACCGTCGCTCATGGACGTCAGCAATGCCAGGGGCAGAGCCTAGCCGCTACCTACTAACTGCCTAAAGTGTCAACAGGTTTAGATTATATTTGTGATTCATTCTTATTATTGACTGTTGATGTTATCATCTATACTAATATATGTATAAATCTACAGTGGTTTTTATGGATGTTCCGTTATAACTACTGAACCGTGCACCCAATTGACTTGAAACTTGGTATCCATGTAGAAAATACATGTGCTTAATGGATAGGCTATTATATATTTATATGAGTGTTGGACCAGGGCGTTAATGATGAAAATCTTTGTGGGGGTGAGAAATAATAATGCTAATTTCAAATGTCCAGCGAAGCGGGACGGGTATAGCTAGTCTATTATAATCCTCAAATATGTATTAGCCGAACGAGGCAGACTTACGTAAAAGAGTTGTTTGTTGTGCGTGGTGTGCTGCAGCGTGTGGAACAGCTTGTGCGCGCCGCGGGCCGCCGTCTGCGCGCCCACCAGCGACGACAGCGCGTCCATCACGCTCTCGCTCAGCTGCTGCAGCGCGAGGGTCCTCGTGTGCTCTGTCCGGACCGCACAACAAGAATAAATCGAGGGGAGCTCATCCCCACCATTTGGATCCTTTTTTTTTAACGCTGGGGTGCTCATTTACAGATGGATTACAGATTTACCCGGTCGAGGGGGGGTAAAAGACCGGGTTATGTCGGACTCCAGCGCCTCTAGAGAAGAAGAGGAAGACCGGGGTCCTCCTCTTCTTTCAATTCCTGCCAGGAGACTACGCCTTGAGAAAAGCGCGAGGCCTGCACGGCGTCAGCCATGCAAGAGCTACCCCGCAAACCGACTACCGACTAAACCCCATCGGCCCCACCACTCCGACTCCACGAAACCTACTGTACCGCCACCACTGTGCGCGCCGAAGACCACTTGGATCCTAGTCTCAATAGCATATCGACTATCCAACTTTCCTAGAGTTTATCGGCTGCGCGTCAATAACGAGCGTGACGGTTACGCCCGTAACACCTACCCAGCCGTTCACGTTAGCAATATGCTGGTAAACTCACAGCCACTGATACTCTCGATAAATTCCTTCTTCGTCTGTTACAATACGATACGATACGAAATTATTATTATCATATACCATCCCGGGCGCTAAAACGTGCCTTTTTCGTGATTGTCAATAAGAGATTGATTCTGCTTCTATGATTACAGCCGTCCGTGATCGTTGGTAAACATTTTCCATCAGATTGTATATGACAACCTTATAAAGTCGTAAAATAAGAACTTCAAAAGAAAGTATGTTTGGAAACACATTTTTTTTACACGTATAAAATATAAATAAATATCATCTACATACAATCAAATAACGTTAGCTGATTAGATACAAATAAAAAAAGAATACCTTTATCTTGAAAATTCCTGTTCGAGCCGTGCTCCGAGAGGACTCCGCCCGGCCACCAAGACTTGATAACTACGCTTATGTAATAATGCAACATCTGCTCCGAAAACAGCCAAGATATTGTATCCTTTATTTGCCTGGAAAATAAGGTTTATTTAACCCTTGTAGTGCTGAGTTTATTTCACATATTTTGCTAGAGATTTTTAAAAAAAGAAGCATTTTATAAATAACTTACAACTTAAAAACTATACGAAAATGAATGATAAGTTCACAGCGAAATAATTTAAAATGATTATTTATAAATATTAATATATATAATAATAAATATACATATAAACCTTCCTCTTTACCACTCTATCTATTAAAAAAAATCACATCAAAATCCGTTGCGCAGTTTTAAAGATTTAAGCATACATAGGGATAGACAGATATAGGGACAGAGAAAGCGACTTTGTTTTATAATATGTAGTGATTATTAAAAACGTTATACATGCGCACACTAAGACATGTCCGTACAGGTCGATACCTAATATCTATAATCAAAGTGCGTAATAGTAGGTAATCCAACGCTCCGCACTTTATACGCATTAATAGCGTCGATCTATCGACGGTTTGCGCTCAAGAGTTAAACGTATACCTTCGTTTGGTTGTATATTAAAGTGACGGTGTTTTGGGCGATGTCGACTGTTTACCATTTGATCCACAGGATCGGGTATGAATTGGACAGAAATTTATACCCATGCAAACAACATTTCTTAATGATATAACTTAAGTGTATCACTCATGGAGATATCCTAGATACATCGATCCATACTAATATCTATAGGTATTAGGTAGTATATATACATGTATATAATTCGCCTTTTCGCATTAAAAGTGTACAATTTCCAAAAATATTCGAAATTGAGTTAAACATTGGTATCACCAATATTTTTCTCATAAATACTGTCAAAAGAGCGTATTTTTTTTTAGTTATCTAAATTTGACAACTATTAACAAAATTAATACATAATTTTATCTTACTTCAAAAGACAGATAATGTAACTGGTAAAAAATAAATGCTACAAAGATGATTAATATTAAAAATATTACATGTTAAACCTTTAAAACACTCTCCTGTAAAATTAGTAAGTTTTGAGATTTTATACAGTTTTAATGCGAGAATACGAATATGTGTGTAGTCAAAAAATTGATGTTGGAGTGAAAGAGTCGCTGTGCAGTGAGGCAACGTACCTATTGATGGTGCGTCCGTACGTGATCTGCACGAAGGTGACGAGGGTCTTCCGGAGCCAGCGGAACACGCCGCGCATGTCGAACACCTCACTGAGCAGCGCGTACAGCGGCTCCGCGGTGCTGTCCCGTTCTTCGGCTATCGCGCTGGCCCCTGTTCGTATACAGTGGGCTTAGTGCGAGTTTTTTAAACGTTCTCGATAGCGTAAAAGTTAACCGCTACACCCAACCAGTGCTATACAGTGGGCTTAGTGGGAGTTCCACTTCGATAAAGCGGCAGGAAACGAGAACCCTCTCATCGTGGTCGCCGGTAACTACATTCCCGATCCTGCGGACAGAATGGAAAGCAGTCGATGTCGCCCCAAACACGTCATTTCGGATCCTCCCGATCCACTAACGGTACTTTTAGGTACCTCAAGCACCGGTCACCGTTCTCTTGCTCTTGCTAGGGTTCGTGTTAGCAACGTTGTCAGGTTTGAGCCCCGCGAGCTCACCTACTAGTTAAGATTACGCTGAAATAGCCTCTCAAGGCTCTCAGTTAGGTATAAAAAAAAATGCAATTATACTTTTAGAATTTGAATTGTGTTCTTTTTTTTTATTGCCCTTGTAGGCAGACGAGCATACGGCCCACCTGATGGTGAGTGGTTACTGTCGCCCATGGACTTCAGCAATGCCAGGGGCAGACCCAAGCCGCTGCCTACAAATCCCACAACTATGATAGCTACTGTTACCTCGCAAGGAATTAGTCATCGTTTTGTTTCCCGCCTCGGCTCCGTTGCCATCCAGGTACATCGATATTTCGTCTTCGTCCGCCGACATGTGGTTAAAGGCCTCCTTCTCCTGCGACGATCTATTCGTTGCTTCGCTGCTTGCGCTAAAAAATAGTATTTTAATCTATAAAATTCCACCAATTCGCTCACTAGTATTAATTCGCTTAATAATAATACTACTATCTCTACTCTACTAGTCAGCAGTAGTGAGATAATTTAAGTTGAAAAAAAAAACTGATAATCAATGGCAAATGTTACTGTTTTAGCTTAAAATCATAGCAAATTAAGCATTAACCTTTTGAATAATGTAGATAATGAGAATTTATTTTTCTTTGGCATGTCCTCTTGTTTTAAATACTCCGAGCTAGGGTTTAGGAATGTATATAAAGCTTCACTTTGGTTTAGTCTGTCGTCTTCTAATACGAACTGGAAACACAAAGGAAATTCAATAAGTAAAAACTCAAAATTGTTTAGACGTAATACAATAAAATGTCTTTACGCACCTCTAAATACTTTTGTATTAATGTTTTTGCTTTGTCTAAAGAATTCTTATCGTTTTTTCCGAATAAAAATTTAAAAGAGTTTGAGGGTAGCTCTAAATTTTTCAATTCTGAACACAAAGGCCTTAACTTTCGATGTAAGTCCTGAAAAATTAAAGGATCATCAGAAATAAACAAAGAAACAAATAATTAGCACATATAACTAATATGAACTTCGAAAAAAAAAAGTTTTTATTTTGTATTGTTTAAAAATAGTGGAAGAGCTCACGGGCCACCTTGTTATTGAGTGGATACCGGAGCCCATGGACATAAACAACTTAAATGCTGCCAACCATCTTGAGACATGAGCACTAAGGTCTCAGTATAGTTACAACGGCTGCCCCACCCTTTAAACCGAAAAGTCTCAGTTTTACACTAAAACAGTTACCCCAAACCTTTCGAACCGAAATGCATTACTGCTCTCCACGGCAGAAATAGGCAGGGTGGCGCTACCTACCCGTGAGAGCTCACAAGACGTCCCACACCGGTAATTACAACAAATTATAATTTTTATATTACGTTTTATTGGTATTAGAATCTGACTTTGTTTTCGAAATCTAATATTGAAAGAGTGTTTTTTTTTTTTGTAATACACTTTTCAGTTCAATATAATTATCAAAATTGCTTCGTTTATGCTCTGGAGATGTGGTGTTGAAGACGAATGCTTGATATTTCATGGACCGAACTTCGCACTAATATATTCCATTTTTCAAGAACTCTGCATTATTCAGCGTCTTTCGGCGCTCGTGCATGGGCGCGTACTATCGATTTTTGGACATGTCTCCCGGCGAGGAAATGACTCTATAGAGCGCCTTGTCCTTCAGGGCAAATTAGAAGGCACCAGATCGCGTGGAAGGTCGCCCATGCGATGGACCGACCAGGTCGTTTTTTTTTTATTTTTTATTGCTTAGTTGGGTGGGCGAGCTCACAGCCCACCTGGTGTTAAGTGGTTACTGGAGCCCATGACATCCACAGCGTAAATGCGCCACCCACCTTGAGATATAAGTTCTAAGGTCTCACTATAGTTACAACGGCTGCCCCACCCTTCAAACCGAAACGCATTACTGCTTCACGGCAGAAATAGGCGTTGCCTACCCGTGCGGACTCACAAGAGGTCCTACCACCAGTAAAAAGTCGGCAGTTGGCGGCTGTTTGCATGAGTGTACCAGGCTCACCACAAACCGGCAGGAGTGGCGAATGCTCGTGAGGCGCATAACATCTGCCTGCAGCAATGATGCTGAATGACGACCACGACCGCTCTGACAAGAGTGATACGACAGAGATATACATTACCTGGAATTCATTGAGCGTCCTCAACAGGACCCAGCCGGTGGTGATCTGCTCGGGTCGGTCCCCGCTGTTCGAATCTTCCTTTTCCGCCATGTGCACGACTATCACAAACTGCGGTGGTTTAGACTCGTCTATTACCTAAAATTAAAATAACTTTCATTTTGGAATGAACTCCCCTCCACGGTGTTTTCAGAGCGCTATGACATGTCCTTCTTCAAACGAGACTTGCGGAGAGTACTTAATGGTAGGCAGCGGTTTGGCTCTGCCCCTGCCATTGCTGACGTCCATGAGCGACGGTGACCACTTACCATCAGGTTGGCCGTATGCTCGTCTGCCTACAAAGGCAATAAAATAAAAAATACATTCACTATAATATTTCCAAATATCAGTCTCATAAAGAGGTATATGCATTTTTTCAATCTGCCAATTTTTATACAGCAATATTCGCGAAATGTAGTTTTACAGATGAGCTTCTGATGTTTAGTTTCATAGTTTTCTTTGTTGCTTATTTTATTGAAAGTGTTTATGAACTTTCACTGAACGCTTTAAATCTGTCTTCTACATTTTCCGTTGAACGGATAGTCAAAATGTGGTAGTGTATTATAACATTTTTAATTTTTGTAATGTAATTATATAATATTCATACAAAATCATATCTGTAATACAGTCATCGTAGAATGAGGTTGTATAACGATTCCAGTTGACATCATTTTTAAAGTGCTTTTCAATTGTTCTTATATTATTTTTTATTTTTTTTATTGCCCTTGTAGGCAGACGAGCATACGGCCCACCTGATGGTGAGTGGTTACCGTCGCCCATGGACTTCAAAAATGAGCAGAGCCAAGCCGCTGCCTACCTTATTCCATTTATGTATTTAAAAAATAATTAGCAATAGGTAAGGTTTATGTATAAATAATGTTCAATAAATACGTCAGCACTGTGGACGGAGGCCCGCCAGCGCCCCAAGTGCTCGGCCCACGTGTCCGTCCTGGCCAGGTGTGCCTCGAGCCTCATCTGTTCACCGGCCAACTTCTCCACCTCGTTGGCCAGCATGGACAAGGCAGGGGACTCCGGCTTCAGCGACGCTCGCAGAGCAGCTAGAGCCTGAAATACAACAAGCAAATACGCGTCAGTGGTATAAAAAGCCCATAGACACAGCCCACTGAGTTTCTCGCTGGATCTTCTCAGTGGGTCGCGGTTCCGATCCGGTGGTAAATTCTGCGAAGCACTGCTCTTGCTAGGGCCAGTGTTAGCATCACTCCGGTTTGAGTCCCGTGAGCTCACCTACTTAATTAAGGTTACGCTGAGATAGCCTCTCAAGGCTATCATCTTAGGTAAAAAAAAACTTTTTGAGGCAGAGGAGAATGAGAAAAAAAGAAATCATTTCTCATACGCATCACGCAAGCGAAGAAATTTACCAATATTTGTCTAAAATAATTATCACCCCGTAATCATTAATTTTACTCCTGCTTCAGTCCAGAAGTCTGCTGCTTACAACGATCGAAGACTTTCGTCTTAACAAAATGCGGTATTTGGAATAAAAAGATTCAAGACGTCGTCGTGGCCTAAAGGATAAAACGTCTAGTGTTTTCTTTTCTAGCGATGCACCGGTGTTCGAATCCCGCAGGCGGGTACCAACTTTTCTGATGAAATACGTACTTAACAAATGTTCACGATTGACTTCCATGGTGAAGGATTAACAATGTGTAATAAAAAACAAACCCGTAAAATGATGATAATTAGCGTAATTACTGGTGGTAGGACCACTCCGCACGGGTAGGTACCACCACCCCGTCCATTTCTGCCGTGAAGCAGTAATGCGTTTCGGTCTAAGGGCGGGGCAGCTGTTGTAACTATACTAAGACCTTAGAACTCATATCTCAAAGTGGGTGGCGGCATTTACGCTGTAGATGTCTATGGGCTCCAGTAACAATTTAACACCAGGTGGGCCGTGAGCCAGTCCACGCACCTAAGCAATAAAAAAATCTTCACAGCGTTCCTACTTAAAATTTCAAAATTTTGCCATATTCCTTTAATATGATAAAGCATATTATCGCCCAACCTAGATACTTCCTATAATAGAATGTAAGGATAAAGTTGAAATCACCTGTATCTTATTGTTGTGTCGTTCTTGTAGCTGATCGAGTTTTCTTCGTGCGTACGTCGAGTGCTCCGTTAGGTGCAACGCTCCCGCGACGCTCTCCGCCGAAGAAACAGACTCATTCGACAATTGCCGCTCTTCTATTGGCGATCTATCCACGTTCGTATCTGCCAATGAAATTTGCCAATTCAAAAAACGAACTGTTATCCATAGATTATACACTTAATATTTGAGGTTATACCCCCTCACAGCAAAGGGATATTGCTTCTCTGCAGGACTGCCGAGAGAACTCACCAAACTTGCAGATTGATGTACTTGATTCCAATCTAAACAAGTTAGTCTGTTTCCGATCTCAGTCGAGAGCGGTTGCCTTCTCTTAATAAAATCTCGCGTCAATTTAAGGATTAATAAATGTATATTTTTTTAAAAAGGGACTTTTAAATTCCTAAAGAAAAAATCTTCTTAGCGGCATATTTACGTAATGTATTTTTTTTTGTAAATAGTACCTATACTTAAATCTCTCTCATTTGCTATGACTGCCATCAAACTTGAATCTGGTTGAGATATCTTCATTTAACTATTCGAACCATCAATTATGGTTAAAAAAATGTTACCTTTGCTATTTTCTTCTGTTGCAAGTTCAGCGATCAATGCTTTATATTCCTCACTCATTAAGAACGAATGATAATATTTGTCTTGTATCGTATCAAGAACGGTCTCTTGCACTTCATAAAATACATCTGGTCCCTTGTCGCCCAGCAGAAAGGATTCCATTCGCTTTCTAGTGTCCTAAAATAGACAAGTCCACTAGATATATCAGTTACGATGATCCTAAGCCCTAACGAAGTGGTTGCCTTGAGACATGAGGACCAAATCTTCATTTATTTTACAGCCGTTGACCTCATGCAGCAGTTAATCGTACAAGTTCACAAAACTCCCTACCTGCATTAATACATTACACAATTATGATTTGACAAAAAAGTTTTTTGCAAACCTAAACAAACATACTGTTAACTTATAAGCAGTTGTTGTCTATTCATCTTACATATCGCGCACACACACACACATTACAAAGCTTATCCTCCTATACTATATGTACACTACACTATTTATTATACTAAGTTTATTCACAATAAATATAAAGATATAAGATAGAAACAACAATCGGTTTCGCTTTTTAAGCTACAATATAAATTGAATGAAAAAAATAATGTAAAAAAGCGTCATGAAATTCTACTGGACATAACTTGATTGATTTCTTGAAAAAAAAGGGATATTATTTGGTAACAATTAAGTACATAACTTCCATACAGTAAAATTGTAAATAAATTCTGTATTTCAGAATTTTCAATCTAGTTTACCTTATCGACTTTAATTTCCGCACTAGGCGATCTTATGTAAGTATAAAATATCTCGGCACCGAGCTGATGCCAGCTGCTCCTGGGACTGTGCCGCAGGTCTTCCACTGACGTCCAAAAGCCGACTAGGCCTTGAGAACACATTTTTTCTAAGAACATCGACAAATACCGGCGCCCCGTCACGCTGTCCATGACTTTGTGCAAAGGTAGCGTCTGCAATCAAATGTTGCATCATTCAATAAACTTATCAATTGTTCAAGACAAATTGTTCAAAATAAGTCCTATAACATTTATAAATGAATCCAAATAAACTGCTTTGAAAACTTTCGAAAATACTAAATTATGATAAAACTTCCCATTACCTTGCTATCTGTCTCAAATGTAGGAAATGCACCATCCCAGCCCATTTTCCTAAGTGCAGTTTCACACTCCGCTTTCGCTATTGTAAGTTGATTTATATACCTCTGAAGTTTCTTAGCATCGGTTATTTGTTGCCGACTTATGTTGTGTTGTGTATTACTTTTTTCTATTGCATCTAGGTCAATTCCTTTTGCTCGTTTCACGTTTTGGAGCGTTGTTGCTTGCATTATTTGTGTTACTATATCATACCTTAAAACCAAAATGCAATTGATGAAATTGTGAATGACCAAAATTAGAATAGTTTTTACTGGCAATTGTAGAGTAATAGAAACCGTTTTAGAAGGTTTGATTAGTAAATGTGATTTAATCAACCTACCGTAACCGTTTCAGCGTGTCAACATTGTTGCAACTATTAATGAGACGTATGTAGTCCTCAAACGTTTTTGCATATTCATGAGTCCTTATATGCATGGCGTTTACTTCTTTTTGTGCTTCCAAATATTGAATAATTTTCTGATTTATATAATCTGGTTCTGTTACAAGATCTATAGCTGGTTGTAAAACTGAAAAAGACACAAAGGTCCATACTCAGCTATGTGAAAAAAAAAAATTAATTGGTTGACAAATTGTTTTTGAATATAGATATTATTTTGTGATTTTAAATATTATTATTTACATAAAATAATAATAATTACATACATTTTAAAGCTTTTTTATAGTAGGCCATCCTATTTTAGGAATATTCACCTTTTCTGCTTAAATCTTAATTCATCTAGCTTAATTATAATTAGTATTTACAGATAATGTAAGAATGTAATTGAATTTTTATAGTAATCAACAAAGTAAAAGTACAAGATTTAATTCAAATATTCACATACTCTTGCAGGCAAGTATTTCCCTCATGAGATGGCATCCTGGTGCCAAAGAATAGCATCTCGGCAACAAAAACATGATAATAAGTTCACTGATCTGCCTCAAATAATGCTGTTCTGTTTCGAAAGATGTCAGATGGGGTGCTAGAGCAAAAACAGGTGCTTGATTCAATTCTAGTCTGAAAATATATTAACACTGATATTAATTTGTAATAGAAAATGTTGTGAATCTTATATGTTTATACTTATTTAATTCAAATTGTATTCTAAGTAAAAGAAAGTACTGCAAGTGTTTTCTAAAAGTTTTTGCAGAAAATGAATGCAAAATCAATACTTACGCACAACTTCTTGCAATTCTTATCCTTTCAAAATGTTGAGTTATCTTCACCACCATATCATTAGCCAGTAATTTTTCAGCATCAACCCTTGATAGCCTTTCATATAAATTTTGTATACCTCCCCAAATATGCTCCTTGAACTTGTCTATGACTGGTTCAGGTTTATGTGCCAATTCTTTCAGCCATCGAGTTACAAAATCTCTCAATATGTAATCAATGAGAAGCTGCAATTGACTGTCTACAGTTCTTCCGAATATGACTGGCAGATGAGATTTTTTCATGGATTGAGGCCAATTTGCCTGATCTTCCTGTAATTTTAGATATGGTGTGTAAATGAATTTACAACAAATACCATTTAGAGCTTGTATATATCATTAAAAAAATAATAGTGGATATACTTCACAATGTTTTAAAATTGTCAAATAAAATTATTTTGTTAATTTTAATCACGCCATTACTTACTTTTTAAGAATTTTTATTTATTTAGAAGATTTTAATGTTAAATTTGAAAGTAGCATTTAAAAAAAAATATATATACATTTTACCTTCAGTGCTTCTTCAAATTGTCGAACTTCCTTTTCAATTCTTTCTATCAAAAACGGTGGTATATGATAAGGTGATGACAATGCAATATGCCCCCATAAACTAAGAGTGAATACACTTAATATTATAAAGATAGCTAACAATAACAAATAAATTAGGCTCCATAATATTGGAAAATACCAAATCAAAACGTAAACTAGTGGAACACCACATATTAACATCCACAACATTTTGTTAACAGGTTTTTCATTAGCATTTTACTTGCACAAATAAAGTATCTACTTCATAGTTTTTTCTTTTTTTATTATTTATTTTTTGCTTGTTTTTCTACATATTGTTTGTAGGTAGGTACCTATGTAGGTAGATAGTTGACTTTGTTTTACATTGATTTCGTATTCTTTCCAAAGAGAATGTTATGCATAGATTATACACTTAATATATATGTTATGTGTCATTTAATAGAATAGGCAAAGGAGACGTAGCTCGTATATCATAAAAAGAATTCAAAAGTCAGACCAAATAGTGTAGCTTGGGTGTATTTTTTTTTTGTAAAATCTAAATTCTTTTAGGATACATATATTTGGGACATTTACTAATTTTAATCTAATTAATCCACGAAGGTTGCTATAAAGTTCGTTTGATTACCCTGGGATCCCATTCCGACCTACCCTTAATTAAATATCTAATCTAGATAAGTGTAACTTCCAGTAGAGGTTATTTAATGTCTATGGTGTTGTCTTATCTCTTTTATTCATTCTATTTCATTTTATCTCAGAACATCCTTTCACGTAGATATGGCTTTGACTTTGATTTATTATTTTAAATTTGTACGCCTTGTTCTTTTTGCTAGCGCAATGGAGCAGACAAATAAAATAAAAAAATGTTCAATATGTACCGTACTTAAAGGTCTTGGCGGGAACGCGAGGAGTAAAATTGTGTGAATTGTTTTATTTTGTTAATTTATTATTTCTTCAGGTTTAAGTGTGGAATAACGGTGGTTTATTATCTATATAGTATATGTCAAAGTGCCAAATGGGGGTAAGTGTAACACAGTCACTGGATGTGACTGTGTTACGCTTACCCTGTTACGCTTCTCAAGATTTTCCTATTTCATTGGAAAAAGTCTCAGTAAATAACCACCATTTTACTCAGACTATATTTCATCACATATCGTGTCGTTTCATTTAATTTCACTTCATTTGCTTAATGTTTTAAATTAATTAACCTCATTTCATTTCGCTCCGTTTTTCATGAAAGAGAATAGATTAAATAATTATATTAAGTGTATAATCTATGGATTAAATAAAAGACTAGGGTGTATTGACTTAAAAGTCTTAGTTATCAGATCATAAAATCCCTTATAAAAATTTACGATGTAGGTATGGTATCACACCTTCGCCTTTCAAGTTGAAAAAATGGAACAAGTACTACTACTGTCATAAACATATGTCATAAATAAAGTTGATTTAGTAAGATCACGACTACTATCATAATCCGGATGAGACTGGGTCATGCTTGCACTCCATCTCATTTGACTAGATTGGGTATAGTCAATAACAATATGTGTGATTGCGGCGCTGATGTTGGCAATTTAAATCATATTTTTTTCGCGTGCTCCTTAAATGACTGTTCCTCATTTATTGATTTATTAACATCCCTTGGTATTCCANTTTGAAACGCGATTTTTTATAAGTTAGCAGCTATTATCATGCATATTCAGAGTTGTTTTATGAACTTTCAACATTCTACTATTAAACTACAAAAAATGGAGGATTTTGCAACGAATATAAAACTTATATTGAGCGTCGAAAGATTTTCCCGGTTTTTTCCCGATTCGCCTCTCAATCCCTAATCGCCCCATTTTACCGGTATACGGTACACAGTTAACACAAATTAAAATAATTATTAGATAATACGAGATAGTATTAAGTTTGCTCGATTTCGATAAGCTATTAATTCCATTCATGTCACTTACAAAAAATAGACAAAAACGGTACAATGTCGGAGATTAATACTACATATTTAATAGTTGGCGGTGGTATTGCTGGAGTTACTTGCGTAGAAACTCTTGCGATCTTGCATCCTGAAAAAACCTTGGTACTAGTAACAGCATCAACACTTGTGAAAAATGTTAGTAACGTTACCTTTTTTGCTAAGACTATAGTGAACTTTGACGTGAATGAAACAGAGGCCACCTCCTTGCAAAAGATCCATCCGAATTTAAAAATTATATATGATTCACTAAAACATCTTGATACTGAAAAGCAGAAAGCTTTGACAGACAAAGGTGTTCATATACAATATGACGTAATTTGTATTTGTACTGGAGGGATACCAAGACTAATTTCAGATTCCAAAAATAGCAAAAGAGTACTGGGCATTAGAGATACAGAATCTGTGAAAGACTTTCAACAAAAATTGAAGACAGGCCGTAGAATGGTTATAGTTGGAAATGGAGGTATTGCATCAGAAATAGTTCATGCTACTTCAGGTATAGAAAAGGTGTGGGTGATTAGAGATGACTATATTTCAGCAACATTTATTGATCCAGGTGCTGCTGAGTTTTTTCAAGAAACCTTTAAAAATGAGAATGAAAGAAAAAATCAAAATACAATTTTAAGGAGGCATATTTACTCTGAAGAAGACAGTTTGGTATCTTTAAATAAAAATTTAAAATCTGCTGCACTTGGTCCAGATTGGTATAGGAAACTTGAAAACATTAAGTCTGACAGAGGGGTCCAAGAACTCGAAATAGTATATAAAGCTGAAGTAGAATCAGTATTAGAGGATAATAAGAATGAATATCCATTACGTGTACAACTAACAAATTCTCAGCTTGTTGAGTGTGATTTTTTAATATCTGCAACTGGGGTGGAACCATCTGTCAACTTTACATGGGATAAAGTTCCAGAGAAAGGTCAGGATGGAGGATTGGCAGTCAATGAATTTCAAGAGACTAGTATAAAAAATGTATTTGCTGCAGGCGATGTTGCATCAGCTGCATGGGAACATGCCCCACACTGGTTTCAATTACGTCTCTGGACTCAAGCCAGACAAATGGCTGGAATGGCTGCTAAAGCAATGCATGGTAGAATAACAAATCAAGAAGTTTTACAAGATTTCTGTTTTGAACTGTTTACTCATTGCACAAAATTGTTTGGTTATAGAGTTATTTTATTAGGAAAATACAATGGACAAGGCCTAGGCACTGATTATGAAATTCTTCTTCGAACTACTCCTAATGTTGAATACATTAAGTTTGTATTAAAAGATGGAAAGCTACAAGGAGCAATTTTAATAGGCGAAACTGATCTTGAAGAAATGTGTGAGAACCTGATTCTAGACCAAATTGATTTATCACCATTTGGTGATGATATCTTGAATCCAGATATACACATTGATGATTATTTTGATTAATAAAATTGTTATAAATTAAGAAATAAGCAGGGCAATAATGTAAAAATATATGGTTAATATCATTATTGAATCAATGCTTTTATGTCAAAGACATATCTTGTGTGTTATTCAAAATAGTAGTATTAATAAGTGATCTAGGTTAATTATTTATTATAAAAATGTTACATAAGATTTATTTTGTTTAATATAGAATATATAAGTAATTTTGTATGATGGTATTTTGATCACAATATTATTACATGTCAAGAGCTTATGCACATCAAGAAACTTATAAACGAGTAGAAGACTTAGTTTCAATGCACTATTATAACAATGTTTATCTGACCTTTTAATTAAAAGTAGTTGGGTCCAAAAAAATTAGATGCATGGTGTGCTTGTATTAGTTGATGCAATCAGTTGAGGAAGATTAATTCTCAGGGAATATGTACTAACATACATACACATGATTACATTCTATGATGAATTGTGTAATAAAATTAAATATCATAATATAATATTAAGGTGTAATTTATTGCTGTTGGTAAACATGTTACGTAGTAATAATTGTTGATTAGTTTAAACAAGATTTTATAACATAATAGAGGTTATTGAAAGTATACTTTTTTTTTATAATATGTGTTTATTATATTTAACTGTATTACCCATTTTACAAATTTATCTTAGAAAAATATTATTCATCCATATCCTCGTGATGAGTCCCAAAGGTTCATTTCGGCTTTGCAGCTTAGCACTCGCGGTTGTGCCAAAAAAAATCTGTACATCCCTGGTCCAGACTCCTCTCGTACTTTACTTCTGTACTTTGATTTTTTTTTTATGATTGATGGATTACTGGTGGCCCGGAGGCCTTTTCGGTTTCACCAGGGCAGGTGGGCGAGCAAAGGCTAAGCCAGGAGGGGTACGATTTGCTAACAGCTACCCGGGCGCCTCCGAAGGAGACCTAGCAACTCAAGAGCAGCTGCTTCGCGTATGAATCTACTACCGAATCGGAATACGCGACCCGCTGAGAAGATCCGGCGAGATGCATGGATTAGGGTGCACGTCGAACTCTTTGTCGAGTTCAACTAGTACGGTTACCGGGGTCCCTAAACCTGCTCCTAGTGTTAAGAGCTGAAGTCGTCGTGGCCTAAAGGATAATACGTCCGGTGCAATCATATCTAGCGATGTAACGGTGTTCGAATCTCGCAGGCGGGTACCAATTTTTCTAATGAAATATGTACATAACAAATGTACACGATTGACTTCCACGGTGAAGGAATAACATCGTGTAATAAAAGTCAAACCCGCAAAATTATAATTTGCGTAATTACTGGTGGTAGGACCTCTTCTGAGTCCGCACGGGTAGGCAACACCACCCCGCCTATTTCTGCCGTGAAGCAGTAATGCGTTTCGGTTTGAAGGGCGGGGCAGCCGTTGTAACTATACTCAGACCTTAGAACTCATATCTCAAGTGGGTGGCGGCATTTACGCTGTAGATGGCTATGGTCTCCAGTAACCACTTATCACCAGGCTGTGAGCTAGTCCACACATCTAAGCAAAAAAAAGTCATCTAGTGCAAAGGTTAATGGATCTCATGGGTCTGTAAAGACGTGTCTAGGACATCGACGGTGACTGGTTCCTGCGTGATCAGGATTCGGGGAGTAACCAACGATAAGGCGGTTATCATGACAAATAAATTTATCGAAGTACCGTTCCGACGCTCACTTCATGTATTTCCAGATTGATTCGAGGCCCAGGTCGTCGTGTATGTCAACGTTCCTCACGAACCACGAAGATACGACGTTAAACCTGCAAAAGGGGATTGTAGGGATTGGAGGGTGTCTATGTGTGTGCGGGCCACGTGAGCGAACACCACACTTGCGTAAGTCATGACGGGCCATAAGCAAGTTTTGTAAAGTGTCGTCACCTTGTTCCGAAGGGACATTTTACTCCGCTTATAAATCATGGGGTAGAGTCTGCCGAGAATAAATGCGGCATGGTCACGGACTGATTTTATATGTGGGTGGGATATCATGGATGCATCGTGATGCCCAGGTACTTAACCTTCCTGGCCCAGGGTATGAGGGTGTGAGATTCCCCTCCTAATCCGGGAGGAAATCAAGTACTTCGATCAATTATATTACACATCATTTACTTTTTCGTATGTATATTGTTTTTTAACATAAGTTATGTTTATAAAAATATTAGTAGTAGAAAAAAATAGTTGGATGAGAGAGTGACGTGACGAGTCCGAGGTCGTGCAGTGGCTTACCAGTACTAGCGCACCGCTGTGTTGTTGTAACCCGGCAGGCTGGTTCTGGTCTTTACTTCATGTCGTTACATTTAATTTTATTTATCCCAATTAAGTAAAGTCTCCAATTAATCAACTTCATCTCATTTCGCTTCATTTCATTTTTCATATAGCAGATATTTGTATGATATATATATTAAAGATTGTGTTTATTAATAAGTTTTTTATTTTTTATTGCCCTTGTTGGCGGGCGAGCATACAGCCCATCTGATGGTGAGTGGTTAAATACTCTCCACAAGCCTCGTTTGAAGAGGGACAAGTCATAGCGCTCGGGAAACACCGTGGAGGGGGGAGCTCATTCCAAAGCAGGATGGCACTTGGCAAAAAAGATCTCTGGAACCGCACTGGGGATGAACGCAGTGACTCCAGGTAGCATGGATGAACTCTATTCCGGTGGCGGGCGGTGCGATGGTAAAAACGAGATGATGGAATGATCTCAAACAATTCCTCAGACCACTCCCCATGGAACACACGGTACAGAATTCGGAGGGAAGCGAAGTTCCTCCGCAGATCTAGAGGTTCCAAGCGGGTCGCAAGAATAGCATTAACTCGATATCTCGATACATATCTCGAATCGGATTTTATAAGCTCGACACTGGCAACAATGCATTACAAGGCGCTAATTGCCATAGTTAAAAATAGGAGAAAAAGTGTCATGATGGGTGCATAGATTATACACTTATGTAGTGTGTTTTGTGTTGTTCTCTGTTTTAGTGAGTGATTAAAATTTCATATTTTCAGTAAATAGGTATACCATAAACATACCGAATTCATTTCAAGAAAATCAATTTATACCTAATATTTTCTGTCACGGTCATTGCCCGATAATTATTTTCTAGTTTGAATAAATATTTATCCAACATTTTATTCCATTACCTAAAGAAGGTGTGCGTTGTAAATAGTGATTTGGTAACATTGTGTTCTTTGTGTCGTTTACGCGATTATTCACAATGCCTATATTATTCAGTATTGTGGCTAGAGGCACTGTAGTCCTCGCTAAATATGCAACTTGTCAGGGTAATTTCACTGAAGTCGCAGAGCAGATTTTATCGAAGATTCCGCCCCACGACGATAAGTTGACATACTCTCACGGAAATTATCTATTCCATTACATAGCAGAGAACAAATTGGTTTATTTCTGCATCACTGACGATGTAAGTATCTTACGAGTAATAACAGTAAAATAATTGGTATGGGCATAAATTATAACTTCTCTTTCCTTCAGAAATTCCAACGTTCGAGAGCGTTCTTATTTCTTAATGAGATAAAAAGAAGATTCACTACAGCATTTGCTGACACCGCACAGACAGCAATACCTTACGCCATGAACAGTGAATTTGGCCGGGTTCTTGCCACTGAGATGAAACATTACAGTGAATCTCGAGACTTGGACAACATTTCGAGAGTTCATGGAGAATTAGATGAATTAAAAAATATAGTGGTTAAAAATATTGGTAAGTATTTGTCTTTCTGCTTATTGAAATGTATGTTTTAAAAAAAACTATTTGCTCTCTTTGTCAAGTCAAATATGGTTCTTAACCTAAAATTACAGTGTTTGCAAGGAGTGCTCATTAAAAGTGATCATTATCTGTGTAAATATTAGATCTATAATCATTGCAAACCATTAATTATAAATAAAACATTGTTTTTCTAGTATTGATAACAGATTCAAATGAGTAAACAAGGCTTATCAACTCTTATCAATACTTTAAACTGCTACCTCTGAATATGTTTTTATTGACTTTTCAGGATAAAATTTCATATAATTATTGATTTAGAATATGACTGAATTGCCTGAATTTAGGTTGGTAGTGTGATGTTGGAATATATTATAATAGCTCCATTTTATACTATGGTTGTTATAGAAGATGATTAATTGAATCATTAGAAAATGGCTAACAGCATTATCTGAGTACCATAAATAAGCACATTGTTGTTGCCAGCTGGAATGTATTGGTAGTATGGCATATAGTAAGGCTACACAGGCAGGTACCATTATCCCGCCCATTTCTGCCACACAATCATACCTCCTGGTTTGGAGGGTGGGACAGCTGGTATGCTCTACAAGCAACTTTAATCCCATGATGAAAACTGGTATTAAAAGTTTATGGTAATTGGGAAGTACTTAATATCAATTGGCTAGAGAGTTGTTTGCCTATGAAATAAAATGAATGAATGAAAATGGGTTTATAACAGAATACTAGTATGAAGAAGTAAATGATCTAAGTAAAATATGCAAGTTTATATATATATATATATTGATGCTTGAAGGGCAAACGTGACTAAACAATAATGCATGAACTTTACAGTAGACTAAGTTCAAGTTGAATTACCTGAAAACAAAATTTATTTTAACGAATCTATCTGTAGTAGAATCTAGCTAGTAGCTGTAGGTTTGAAATTATTTTAATAGACCTAGAAATATTTTTTTTTTGCGTATCGAATATGGTTATTGCCTATCATATATGTACAAAGCAGTTATTGTCGCTTAGTCACATTTGCCTTTCATGCGTCGATATATATCTCAAATGAGCAGTAGTCACTAATCAACAATTGTATCAAACAAATATTCTAGGTAAAATTGAGATGTTTCTTTGTATGTATGATCACTATTGTATTGCATGGTTAATTTTATCTGTCAATACTAATCGCTTCTACAAAAAGAATTAATGAAAAACCCTTAATAGGACTGTTAATATCCATATGTGTAACTATACAGTTGTGTTGTAAGAATACAAATTACATTTTAAATCATTTGAATACCTGTTCAGATTATTTTAACAACTTAGTAAATGAATAAATTTACATTAAATTGATAAAAAATCATGACTTAGTGAAAAAAAAACGAGACATTTCTACATCCTCAAGAATTGGAATAAACTATTATTCACTGTTACCTTTTTATTTCTCCAGATCTGTGAATGAGTGCATGGCCCACATTGTATTAAGTGTGTATTGGAGCCCTTACATATCACAATGTGAATGCCATTACACATCTTGAGTTATGAGTTTTGGTTATCTAATTAATATATCATTACTTGTGCAGATAACATGGCAATGCGTGGAGAAAAGCTAGAACTGCTTGTGAACAAAGCTGATAACTTAGCCACTAGTGTAAGTATAAAATTCTTCATCTAGAAGATATGAAGTGTATTTTGTTGATATAGATTCTTATATCCCATGTCATTATAAACCACCTCTCAACTTACCAAAATGATACAGGAGGCCAGTGCTTTTACCCAATAATTTGATATTTTTAAGTGAAAATAATACATTCATTTTGATCAAACTACCCTCTGAT